CCAAGTTAAAAATTTGAAGGATTCACACCGAAACATTAAGCACTGAACTTGGCTGACAGTGATTATCTTCTCTGTCTTCACTTTCTAAAACTTTTTTTACTAAACATATAAGACCTTTTGTAACGGGGAGTAAAAGTATTTTTTACCTCAGCAAATATTAGAACAGGGGATTCCTACTTTAAGTTATTGTCTTACCAACTAATACATATAATAAGATTTAATTAGATGACATTAAAATTACCAAAAAAACATTCCTGGAATGGAAAACAATTTTTTTTTTACAGGCAAGCACCTTACTCCCCATAATATTTCTCTGGCAGTATAAGTGTTTTTATTTTTTTTAAAGCATTGAATCACCGTGAAGTACAGATGGATCATGACTGAGTTCTACTTGCACAATGTTTGCGCACCCATTCCTCCACCAGCGTTCACTTTCCTCCACCTATGCCCTCACTTTCCCTCTCACCCCACAGTCTGTCCCTGTGGCAGACACTTTTCTCCTTTTAGGTACTGTGATTTGCAACACTGTCACTGAAAGGGTCTTATTCATAACACTTTCTGTCCTCTCAGCACCCAGTTCTGTCCGGAGTGACCACTGGCCCCGATCATTGTCATAATGCTCCCTTCTCTAGCTCAGTTGCCCTACTTCCAACTCGTTTTGTTTGTTTGATTTTGGTTTTGAGCTACATCCAGCTGTGCTTCGTAGTAATGACTTTTATAAAATTAGGACTTTTTAAAGTTTAGTATATCATTTAAATTTTTTTCCTGGTTGACTATTATCTTCTATAAACTCTTTTATAGAATTTTCTCCGGTATTTTAATTTTTTAATTTTATTTGATTTATTTTTGCTGAGTATTTTTAAACTATAGCTAAGTTAGTGCTGTAAATGTTTCACAGACTGAACTAATGACTAATAGTTTCTGGAATGTTTATGCTTTTTACAGAATTTTAGAAGTTCTACTGTACATTTCATTCCACTGAGTATATGTTATAACCTTCCATATTACTTGATTCTTCATCTTTTTGATTCATATTGAAATAAGGCACTAAAAAAATTGTACTTGTGACTCTTGGCACTCTGTAGTTCATTTAAAACAAAAAAATCAGAAAAGTGAAGTTTTTGAGGGCAAGACACAGAGAGGAAGGACTATAATCCTGTGCAGTTAGATCCAGCCTTGCTAAGTAGGGAAGGCAGAAGGGCGGGGAGAGAAGGGGGGGGGGCGGAGTGGTAGGGAGGGAGGGAGGGAGGGAGGGAGAGAGTGTGTGTGAGAGAGAGAGAGAGAGAGAGAGAGAGAGAGAGAGGAAAGAGAATACAAGATCCTCAAACTTAACAGACCTACTGCACCTTTTGCAAAAACTGTCAATGCCCCACTGGAAATCTACCTTAATGAACAATCAGAAAGGGTCCCCAAATTACACCTGAGCCTTTCACCCCACCACCCCCACCAACCCAGGTCATTGCAATACCACTAGGTGGGAGTGGGCTCACCCACTTTGGGGAAGACTGAATTGGAGGATGAAAGTAAGGCTGTTACTGGAGAAAACGCCCAGAACAACAAGGGAACTAGGGGAGGAGCTTTCGGAGGCACTCCTGGGGGATGGAAGCTGAGGAGCTTCGGTGGATGAGGGTAACAAAAGCTAAGAGTTCGTAGTGGGCGTGGCTAACAAAGGTTAGAGATGTGGTGGTGGGAGTGGCTAACAAAGGTTAGAGAAGTGATGATGGGCGTGACCAATAAAGATTAGCGATGTGGTGGGCGTGGCTAACAAAGGTTAGCGATGTGTGGGCGTGGCTAACAGGTTGAAGATGTGGTGGTGTGCTTGGCTCAAAAGGGTCCAGGTTAGTGGTGAGTGTGGTTAACAAAGGAGAGGGCTTAGAATGCTCATTCCAAGTGCACACACTCGAGTGGTGACTCCCCACCCCCCACCCCCGGGCTAAGAAAGCGTGAATGAATACTTAACTGATTGATTCTGAAAGGAAAGGGACAAAAACTGATTTGCGATGCTTTTTTTTTTCAAAAGTCTTAATTTTTCTAAATATCTAAAATGTGCCGGCAGCAATTTTATTATTAGAAAAGGATTCTTTTTAAAAGCAAACTACTACACCATTGAGGAATTGGAAGTTTGGTTCTTCCCTCTGTCATCACATTCTGATATTAAATATGTTAGTGCCCTGTAGTAAAACTAAATAGCAGGAGAAAGCAACATTCTCCATTTATACCTAGAAGAGATACTTTATACTGTTTTTCCAATACCGTATCTGCTTTTGATTTTTCTTTTTCTAAATGAGAACAAAACAAGATCTTCCTGTAATGGTATCCTATTCTTTTTACCTTTGAATGGCCTGTTTAGTTCTTAGATTTACAAGGTACCCATGGAGAGCTGTGCTATAAATATCACTGTCATATTATGTTCATGTTCTTTCACATAATAACACCAGGAGGTGTGAAAAATGAACTGGATAAAATTATTTGAATGATTTCTCCTGTTACAGGTGATATATGTGTACCAAAGGAGACATTCAAGAACTTTCAACTGTCATTTTTGGGAAAACATATTCTGCATCAACCACAGGAATTTTTTCTGTTTGGTTCTAGTGCTCTGGTGGTCTAGGGATCTGCTTCTAGTGCTCAGCAATTCTTGGCCAAGGAAGTCGGTGGTTAATGACAGTGCCTGGGCATGCCCGATTCCAGGAATCCTGGCACATATACATACAATTAAGATATTGCCAGAGGTTAAGGCACTTTCCTTGCACACAGCCGACCATGATCTCATCCCTGGTACCACCAGGAGTGATCCCTGAGCACAGAGCCAGGAGTAGGCCTTGAGCACCACTGAGTGTTGTTCCCAAATAAGTACAAAACAAGATATTTACGTCGCATATGAAAAGCTATTTAAGTGGTTCTGGAAATAAGCCAGGACTCTGAGAACAGATGATTGCATAAAGGAGCTATGTACATATACACAATAGAATCCTATTTGGCCATAAGAAAAGATAAAGTCATGCAATTTGCTGCTACATGGATGGATCTGGAAAGTATCATGTTGAGGGAATTTGGTCTGGGAGAGAGGGACTGACACAGAATGATCTTTCTCATATTTGGGACATAAACATAGCACTGTAGCACTGTCCTCCTGTTATTCATAGATTTGCTCAAGTGGGCACCAGTAACGTCTCCATTGTGAGACTTGTTACTGTTTTTGGCATATCGAATATGCCACGGGGAGCTTGCCAGGCTCTGCCGTGAGGGCGGGATACTCTCGGTAGCTTGGGGAATAACAAATGCGCCATGGGAAAAATCAGGGAAGGGTATAATAAAACACTGGTGCAGAGAACTGGTCACTCTGCAGGAGAACCGAGTGCTAAGAGGAGGTAGAAAGTGCCTGTCATAGAGGCAGACTGGGGGTGGGAGAGTAACTGGGGACATTGGTGGAGGCAAGTGGACACTGATGAAAGGATTGGTGCTGGACCAATGTACACCTGAAACTCGATCATGAATTACTTTGTAACTCATGGTAATTCAATAAAATAAATGTTTTAAAAAGAAAGACATTTAAGTGGTACTGGTATATTTAAAAAAATGAATCAAGGAGCTGGAGAGATAGTAAAGGACTAAGGCATTGGCCTTGCATCCTGCTGAGCCTGGTTCAGACCCTCAGCACCACACAAAGTCCCCTGGGCATGGCTAGGAGTTGCTCCAGAGCACAGAACCAGGATTAGCTCTGAGCACCACAGGATTTGGTGGTGCTCAAAGGCCAGTAAGCATATCTGTATAGGTTTTTCAAAGGTGACAGCTACAGAGTTAGTAACTCTGTACTTAAATAAGCATCTTTAAATGAGCTTAAATTAAAATAAGCATCTTTAAAAATTGTATCATTTGCACGGATAAAATGGATATTAAATAAAAATAACTTGATTATTGGTTAGAGCTTTGGTCTTAGTGCTTTCTTTTTGCTTTTTTTTTTTTGCCATCTTGCTAATTCTCTGTTTATTGCTCATTTATCCCCTTTCCCTTGTTATTGTGTGGTGGTGGTGGTGAGTCTGGTTCATGACCTCCTGCCTGAAGGCCAGGTGTTTTCCTGCTGAGCTTCATTCATTCATTCATTCATTCATTACTTGTTATTCCTCAACAAACACATTTTGTGTAAGATCAGCCAGATATGATGGGAATTGTAATAGAAGGTGGGTCTCATTGTAAGACCAGGAGACTCTAAGGTTAGACTATCCCTCACTCTCCCCTGCATGGTCAAAACTGTTCCAGCTTATCAAATGTCCCCCTTAAAAGAAGTCTGTGTTTTCCACTTCTCTTTGTGGTTGCCATTCACCAAGGGGGTACAGACTTGGTTTTAGAACTGAGGGTTAGATGGGCCAAGCCAAGAATGGCACCCGACAGAATTAAGGAGATCCTGGCTTCAAGCACACAAGGCAGGTACTCTACCCTGAGCCACAGCCCTGCCCCAGAGACCACTCAGATCACTGCTCTGGTCTCCTGGCCACTCCTTATGCCCCTTCTTATTAAGAGATTCACCTCAGGGTCAGGGAGATAGTTCAAAGGACTAGACTGCATGTTTTGCACACAGGGACTCCCAGTCTGATGCTCTGATAGCAAATCTCAAGCACTAAGCTGGAACTGCTGATGTGATCCCCACCACATATACACAGAGAGAGGAGAGGAGAGGAGAGGAGAGGAGAGGAGAGGAGAGGAGAGGAGAGAGAGAGAGAGAGAGAGAGAGAGAGAGAGAGAGAGAGAGAGAGAAGGAGCTTCATCGCCATCTCTAAGGGCTTCATTACTCTATGATTATGGAATATCTGATAGACCTTCTGAAAGCAAAGTGTGGGACCGAGGAGCTGACAAGGGAGGGAAGAGAGATTCAATCATTCCTATTTGCAGGGGGCTCGGGAGAAGCAGAAAGAGCGTGTTGTCACTCTGCTTCATCTGAGACTCTCTCCACTTCCTTCCTCTGCGATTCCTTCTTAGCTCCGGGGCACAGAAGAGGCTGCTGCCCAGGATCAAAGGCTGGCTCTTCCCAGGCTAGGGAAGCGGCTGATTCGAAAAGGTGTCAAGTCATAGGAAGGCGTTAGTTTCATGCTTAATTCATACAGGATCTTCCCCACCACAGGGGACAGCTTGAATCCGTGCCCAGAGAATCCAGCACCAATGATAATGTTGTCGTACTTTGGGTGTCGGTCAAGAACAAAATGCTCATCAGGAGTGTTCGTGTACATGCAGCGTTCTACAATGGCAGGTTCCGACTCAAGGTCTGGTAAGTGTTTGCTGACAAAGTCGCGCAGGATCTGGACATCCGGGATGTCAGAGGGGCCCTCCGGGCAGTCCCGCTCCTCTGGATCCACCTTGTTGCCGTGGTGATAGCAGACCTTCATCATCCCTGGGTACTCTCGAGAGGGCAGCCCATACACGTGGTGGGGACCCAGGCTGCGTTCCAGGCTCAGGAAGCACGGAAAGGCTGCACCATAGCTCCCAGGAACTTTCTCTCGCCAGTAACATACATTGATCCGCAGTGTCTGGAGAGGCAGCTCAGCTCCCAGGGGCCGGAGGAGCCTGTTGGTCCAAGGGCCTGCAGTGATGATCAAGCTCTTGCCTTGGTAGCTCCCAGAAGGTGTTGTCACTGTGACTGGTTGTCCTGATTTGATCTCCAGCACCTTCTCTCCATCACGCACTATCCCTCCTAGCTGTTGAATTGCATTCTGGAGGGCTCTGAGCGCCTTGTCAGCATAGAGGATCCCTCCAGACTCATCCAAGAGGCCCGTCTCTCCACTTGCTGGCCGCATGTTGGGAAAACGCTGCTTCAGCTCTTCAGGTTGGAGCCACTGGTGCTCCACCCCGTGCCTAGCCAGAGTAGCCTTGATGGTCTTCAACTCTGGATTCTCCTTCATTCCCAGCAGCAGGAATCCCGTCTGCCTGTGTAGCTGGGTCCCAGTCTCGTGCTCCAGCTGGGCCCACATCTTGTAGCACTCGTCCATCATGTTGGTGTAAAAGTCTTCAGGGTACGCCCTGCGGATGATCCGGCTCTGCCCGTGAGAGCTGCCTCGGGAGTGCGGTAGGAAAAACTGCTCCAGCAAGAGGACCTTCTTCTTGTGTTTGGCCAGGTGGTATGCAGTGAAGCAGCCCTGGATGCCAGCCCCGATCACAACGGCATCATAGAGATGGTGCTGTGCTGCCATGGTGCCCTACGTTACCCGCAGCCGCCGAGCCCGCATCTCTTTTTGCTTTTAAGTAATGGAAACACACACACAAACAACAAAATATCATTTTTGTGGGAACTTCTCTCTGTAACAAAAAATAAATAAAAATAAAAAACCAAGAATGGGATATCCCCTATGTAAAATAGTTTAGAGTGCATATATGAACCCTGGAAAGAATAGAATAGCAGGAATAAATAGAATAAATGACAAATATCTGCAAACTTGCTTCCAGGCAAGCATAGAATAATACTGTTTAGGGTTTTTTTAAATTTTTTTTTAACTTTATTTAAACACCATGGTATACGAAGTTGTTTGGATATTCAATGTTCCAACACCAATCCCACTGGCCAATATGACCTTCCCTTCACCATTGTGCCCAGTTTTCCACCCACTCCCCAAACCTTAGCAGGCACAAAATAATTTATTTATATTGCTTGTTTCAACAAAAAGTCTAATAGAATTAAAAAAATTCAGTAAAAGATAATTAGATTTAGATAGTGTACTGATCTATAGGCAATAAAAGCAGTGATTTCATTTTAGAAAATTTAATACCCATCAAATTTTTAACTTGTAGTAGAAAGATTTTTGGCTTGTGTGGGGAGCAAGAGAACTTAAGGATTTACTTATGGCCTTTCTTGAAACATGTAGATTGCCATTCATCTTTCATTATCTTGGTTCTATTTTCAACAGCAAGAGTTTGTCCCCTTGATCCATATTCCATCCTTACTTATATAGTGGAAGACCTTTTTGAAATTTTAGACCCAGATAATAACTCAGATATTCTGCACTTCTCACTACCTCTGGCCTCCTCAGGTTACTGCAGATCCGTCTCTTGGCTCTGTGTCAGAGCCAGACCAAGCTTAATTGGAATTTTTGTCATGGGAGATGGAGTTCGATTTCTCCAACAGAACTCTGGTGGAATCTGAACTTAAATCAATGCTGAGCAGTCAAAATAAAACTGCTGTGTAATGCGAGTGAAATAGAAGCAAGTTGTTATTAACCTTTCCAAAGAGAGAAGATGTTGCCAATCTCAGCCTAGATGGAGATTATCTCCCTCTTTCTGAAAGGGAGTAGCTGGCAGGACTGATCTCAAATCCAGTCAGTCATAGAAAAAGCAAAAGAATAAGTATGAAACTGAAATTCTTGGTGAGCTTGGGGTCTTTGACTTCCATTTGGAACTTATATTTAATAAAATCTGGAGAGGTTAGTGGAGGGAAATAGGCACTGGTAGGTGTCAGAATGAGCAAAATTACAAGCACATACATTGGGACCTAGCTATCCTTATTCTAGTTCCTTCTACTGAGACAATCATTTTTCAAAGCTGATTGAGAAATAACATCTGCAAGACTGTAAATAACATCTTTAGCATTTTTTAAAATGAAACTGGTTACATACATTGGGCTATATTCCAACAATAGTTATGCAGCTGGGTCAGAGAGACGTGCTACATTTAGATGGAAACCAAGTTTCATTAGACTGAAAACAGACTACACATTGTTCAAAAAAAAAAAGTTGACTCCTTAAAATAGGCATTTGGGTTTACATTGTTCATCAGGGGTCTCTAAACCTTCGGTGGTAAACTAGAGGCTTCTAGACTTGGGGGCTCTGGGGGTCCCTACTACCTTGAACTCCCTTTCTGCAAGAAAACGGTTCCTGAGTTTGAAGATGCAATGCAAAGCATGTAAGTTCAACTTCCTGGTTGGTTCCAGGGATGGCTTGAGAAGTAAGCTAAAACGATTATCTCTGAGTGACACAGATCTGAAATGGGACACCACCACTTTCACTTAAAAAAATAAATTTGCTATGTTTGAGGCTCTATGCTCTCGCCATAGAGCCTCTAGCAAACTCGGCATTCCTTGGGCAGCAGCTTGGCTTTGGATGCCGTAGAAAAGAAGGGGTTCGACAATCAGGGAACGTGTCGTCGGAAAGGAAACTCCAAGCTTTGACAGGTGGTCCCGGAACGCGACGGTGGAGGAAATAAGGCACGTTGTTAAGTGCAATTGGTGATCGAGGCCAGATCACGGCTCAATTTCCAGTTTCGAGAAGAATAACCCTCCCTCCTCGCGTGCCTCCTTCCTTCCCAAACGGGGGCGGGGGGCACCTTCAGGGAGCATCCCCGCAGCCCTCTCCCATCCCCCACCGTCCAGCATTCAGCCGTCCCTCCCGGCACCTTGGCGGGAGGCTTCCTCACGTGACGGCGCGTCAACGCGGAAGACGCACTGCAGCACCGCGGGTCGCGGGAGCGCCCGGACGGCTGCTCTGGCTCCTTCATCTCTATGATCCTCTTTGTGACTCGTCGGCCGGCACCGTGTCATCGGTCCTCCGGGCCGACAGAGGCCGGTGCCGAGTGCGGGCGTTCTCGCGAGAGGGGCCGGGTTCTCTCCGAGAGCGCGGCGGCTCGGCGCCTGCGCCGCTGGCCCAGTGCGTGGAAGCGGGAGAGCGGGGGCCGGCCCCGGCGGGGACCCGGGGTTGGTGCTGGCGGCGGTGCGGGGCTGGGGTGGGAGTTAAGTGTGCGCGCGTGTTGGTGTGTGTGCGCGCCGGGTGTGCGTGCGCGCGTGTGCTTGTGTGTGCGCGCGTGTGTGTGTGGGGAGAGAGGAAGCAGCGCGCGTGCGCCGTCGCGGGCTCCCGCCCCGTGAGCCGGCCGGGGCCGCGGGGTGGCAGCGGGTGCGAGAGCGCCGTGGGCCGCGACAATGTTCCGAAAGGCCCGGCGAGTGAACGTGCGCAAGCGGAACGACTCGGAGGAGGAGGAGCGAGAGCGCGACGACGAGCAGGAGCCGCCGCCGCCGCCGCTGCTGCCGCTGCCGGGCGCGGGCGAGGAGCCGGGCGGCGGCGGCGGCGGCGGCGGCGGCGGCGGCGACCGGGCCCCCGGCGGGGAGTCGCTCCTGGGCCCGGGGCCGCCGCAGTCGCAGCCGCAGCCGCCACCGCCCGCCGCGCTCCCCGCGGGCCCCGCCGCCGAGGCTGGGGGCGGCTTCCCCGGCGGCGCCGAGCCCGGCAACGGGCTGAAGCCGCGTAAGAGGCCGCGCGAGAACAAAGAGGTGCCCAGGGCCAGTCTGCTGAGCTTCCAGGACGAGGAGGAAGGTAACCGCCGCGCCCCGATGGCCTCCCCTTCCCCGACCTGCCCGCCGCACTCTGTGCCCGCCTCCGGCCGTCTGCTCGGACGGGGCACGAGTTCCCGCCCCGCCGCCAGCCTTTTCTTAACTGCTGCCGCCTCCTCCTCCTTCTCGCCCTCCTCCTCCTCTTCCTCGCCCGCCTCCTCCTTGCCCTCCTCCTCGTCGTCCTCCTCCTCGTCCTCCTCGCCCCCCCCCCCGAGGGCGTTTCTCTCCCACCCCCACCCCACCCCTCCGCGGGGCCAGATCCCGCAGAGGTGTCCTTCCCATACACACCCGGTTGTGTCTCTTTTTCTTTTCTTTATTCTTTTTTTTTTTTTTTGCTTCTCCCTGATGCTCCAGTGAGCACCAAAGTGTGGGGTGTGGGGCCTCCTCTAGGGCTGCACCTGCGGGGGGAGGGGGGAGAAACGGACCCGACGACTCTGCACCCGTGCGTCTCCCTCGGGTGTTGTTCGCACTCTGCTCGTGCGTCACCCGGAGCTTCCCCCCCCCCCCCAACACACCCCCCTCTCTCCGTCTGGGAGTTGTCGCCGTGCGTCTTGAGTGACCTTGGTCCGGTCCTTTGCAATGGCCGGGCCTCAGTTTTTCTCCCTCCCTCCCCAGGTCCCTCACCTGGAAAGTAAACGGTGGCACGGATATCCGGCCGCGCTCCCCGTTGGCTTTTGCAACACTGCAGGGATAGGTGTGATTTTACTCCCAAGAGTCTGTCCAACCCAATCCCAATCCCAGGCTGCAGTGGATTTTGATTCCACCCCCTCCCCACCGCACTTCCTGCAGCCTTCGATCTTTTTCCTGCTTCCTGCCAGTGAGCTCTCCTCCTTCATGGTCAGACTTGTCGCCCCAAGATGAGTGTGTTGGTAGAAGCCATAGACTTTTTATTGCTTTTTTGGGTCACCCCCTGTGATGCACAGGGGTTACTCCTGGCTCTGCACTCAGGAATTAACTCCTGGAGGTGCTCTGGGGACCATATGGGATGCTGGGGATGAAAACTGGGTCGGCAACGTGCAAGGCAAACGCCCTACCTGCTGTACTATAGCTCCAGTCCCAGCCAGAGACTTTAAAAAAGGAAATCGAGATTTCCCCTTAAAAATCACCGCCTGCATCTGGAGCTCGGGAAGATGTATTTGCAGGGGTTTTCGGCGAAGTGGGGCCATTTTAATCTCTGAGCCTTTCCAGGAGGTTTCTTTAAGAAGGAGCACAGGCAGATTTTTTTTTGTTTGTTTGTTTTGGTGGTGCAGGGACTGTTGGTTGCAATGTTCTTGTGGATGGCTTGGAAATGTCCTTTTGGAAGGTGTTAGCCACATCACCTCAGTTTATTTTTGAAAAGTGATGTGCTCCCAAGCTTAGTCTTTCTTGAACAGTGTATCAGGTTGTGATGAAGGAGAGTAACCCAGACTTGAAAATTGCTTTTCTTTTTTTTCCTATTTAAATTTTGGGGCTTTAAGGCCACATCTGGCAACCCTCAAAGACTTTTCCTGGTAAGGCTCAGGGGACCCTTTGTGGTGCCCCCAATCCAACCCAGCTTGGCCAGAGACGTCCCTTCATATCCAACTCTCAGACATCATAATTTCAAACATCACTTTTTCATCTTAGAAATTTTGTCTGTGGTACCTTATTATCTTGTAATGATGTATTTTGTCAGTGGTGGTGGGGTTTCTGCCGCCCCCTCCACCCCCCGAAATAAATGGTTTAGGGTAAACAATCAGAAAAATTCTAGGAAGCTACTATGTTGTGCCTTTTAAAAGTATTGCATTTAGGGTTGGAGCAATAGAACATGGGTTCCCCAGCACTGCATAGGGTCTTCCGGGCTCGGCCAGTGACCCCTCCTGAGCAAAGTGCAAAGGCAGGAGTATGCTGCCAGCACCACAGAGTAGCCCCACAACAAGGGTATCAAGTTTGACAGTGCACACTAATTTATGGTTGACTTTGTTTTTTGAGAGTCTGTAGGTTTGAAATGACTTTCAGGTGACCTGTGACTGTGTGTGCTGGAGTGTCCTGATTTGCATGTAAGGTGCTGTCAGTTAGGAGGGAGACACTGACACTGGAAATGATGGCTACAAATCTCATTTTTTCTTTTTTAAGAAAATGAAGAAGTTTTCAAAGTGAAGAAATCAAGTTACAGTAAAAAAATAGTGAAGTTGCTTAAGAAAGAATATAAAGAAGATCTTGAAAAGTCGAAGATTAAGACAGAACTCAACTCCTCAGCCGACAGTAAGTACTGAGCTAATGGATTTCTTAGAAATGGCCAGTGATAGCGCTTTCTCGCGGGAGAGATGGATTTGCTGGATTTGCTGCTGTCAGTGTTTTGAACTCCTTCATCTAATTCTGTCTAGGGGTCAGAAACAGTTCTATGGCTTCATTCTGACAGTTGCATCGTAAGTGCATTTTTAGAAAGCAGCCCCATTCCTGTGATGTTTCTGATCTCCAAATTCCTGGGTTTGTGTTTTAGAGACAGGCTTGGTGGACTGTTGACAGATATTTAATCCTGACAGAACTTTTGAGTATGCTAAGTTTAGTGTTGTTGGTGCTTCTGCTTAGCCACGGGCTGGCAGGATTGATGGATAAAGGCCCCGTTCTGCCAGCTCTCCTGTCTTCTGTGCTGGTCAGTAAACTCTCCTGTCCTCTCTGAGTCCTGTCTCTAGGAAAGTGGGTCCATCACAGTCTGCTGGGCTCTTGATTATTCTCATGCAGGAGCGTGGGACCCATTTTTTTCTTCCTGTGAAGTTAAAGGTGGAATTGTCTTCCGCTTTTTCAGCTACAAGCATAATGTGGATAAAATATGTCATTGCATTCTGAATATAGTCTGTTGTGGCCAGTGTTTGGCAAAGGGTCCAGTGAGTGGTAGTGGTTCCAATGGTAATTTTCAGAGGCAGGAGAAAGAATACTTTAGAGATAATGTGGCATTGGAAGATGGCACTTTGATCATTGAAGTTCTGAAAGATGGGAAAGCAAAAATAGGGATATAATCTTATATATATATTTTTTTTTAAGTAAAAAATGAAATAACTTTCAGAAAATATCAGGTACCCTGACAGCCCCAGGTGGCCAGCTTGTGGCAGAAGTAGAGGTTAAGGGCTAAAGATAAGTTATTGGGAGATTGTGGAGTATGTTTAGTGTCCACTAAAAGCTTCGGCATTGCCGTGTAATGGTGAGGTGCTGGTTGGAACTTTTACCTGTTACTAGAGCAAAGTGCGGATGGTCTGAGGAGCAACCTGAAGCTGAGAGCAGTGTAAATGCAGGGGCCAGCTTGGATCCACTACTGGTGGGTTTAAAGGTCTCAGTGGGTTCAGACTGAGGCTTTTCTGAATTAGAGTTGAGTTAAAAATACTTGCTTTACATGTGGGGAAAGAAATGGAAAGAAAAGATGAAAGAAATACCCCAAGGGAAGTTGGGTAAAAACGCTTCCCCTCTTGCACTGAAGAGTCGAGTTGGAGATTTTGTGCCACAGTGTCTGAGAGAACGAATCATCACACGTTTGGTGAAGAAATGAGGACACAGTGGGAAGAGGACTATTTTTAGGGGACCCAGTTATTCTGTGGGGGTAACTGCCTCATTTTCCCCAAGTCATCAAGAACCAACTGTGGACGCGGAATTAGTACAGGAAAGGTCAGGAGAAATGAGAGCAGGGCAAGGCCAGTTTTCTGTTGGGTTTAGTGGCCGGAACAAGAACCTGGTTTCCAAGTCCTCTTTGGGGCCGACCTGCCTTCCCTCTCCACACAGCTCACCCTTGCACTCACTGACCACTCAGTTAAGGTGCCCAGGTGCTAAGCCCGCTCACCATTCCCAGACACATCCCAGCCCCAGATGAGTATTCATTGCCAGTCTCCACTTAGAACTCATCTTCTAAATCTGCTCTTCCTAGAAGACTGACTTGACTTTGGCATTTGAAGTGGCCAGTCAGTATAAAGATGTAGATTGAAAAAATGAAGATAATACGATTACTTATTGACGTAATCATGGAAAGCTTAAAAAAAAAAGTGAGGTCAGAGAGATACAGTTCAGGGGTTGAGGAGTGTGCCTTGCACACACCTTCAGATTAGATCCCGGCACTGCATAGTTCCCCAAGGACCGCCAGGAGTGATCCCTGAACACAGAGCCCAGAGTAAGCTCTGATTATGGCCAGGTGTGGCCCCCAAACAAATAAGAGCCAGAGCAGGGCTGGAGCTGTAGTACAGCGGGTACTAGAGAAGCTGAACTGGAGGAAGCTTCTAAATTGCTCAGCAGGTAAACTTAGCTAATGTTGGCTGCAGGCGTTGGGTTAGTTGGTGGACCGGGAACGGGAGAAATCAGGGCTGTTTGCCAGGCTCATCCTTGGTGTAGTTGCTGAAAAGTGATAGGGAGCAGGTGCATATTGCTTTGGAGAGGCAGGTGACAGTAGACAGAGAGGCCAGGATGTCAGAATCAAGAGGGCGAGTTTGGGGCCGGGAGATGCAGACGGGTAAGGCTCTTGTGCCGAGTCCTGGCACTCCATGTGGTGGCCCAGAGCACCCTCCAGTGGTTGCTGTCTACAGATCCAGGAATAAGCCTTGTGCACCACCCAATCCCCCTTTTCTTTATTTTCTGCCTCCTGAAACAAAAGAGGGAGAACCTTAACAAATTTGAGGTAACGGGAAATTTAATTGAAAGCAGTTTTTTTTTTTTTCTGAAGCAGTGGTAAAAGAAAGTGAGGTCATAAGAGGTGATTTTTGAGGTCATGGGAGGAGAAATTGAGGTTACAAGAAAAGATTTTTAGCATCTGTTTGTTTTATTTGAAGATACAGGAAATTGAACCCAGAGCCTCATCCACACAAGTGCTGTTTCACAGAGACATAACCTTGGCCCCTTTGGGAGTGGGGGACACATTAGGCCACTCCTGGTTCTGTGCCTAGGGAGCATTGCTGGTGGCATTTGGGGAATCGTGATTGGTGTTGGGGATGCAATCGGGGTTGGCTGCAGGCAAGGCAAGCTCCCTAACCCCTGTACTGTGTCTCTTGGCCCTTTGCATCTTGTTTTATGAAGTGGAAGAATGATCCATGACCGCTTCCCAAACTGCAGTTTTCACCATGCTTTGCTTGAATTTGCGTAATCAAAAGCAGATACTCGTCAAAAGCAGATACTCATTAACTTCATTTGGCAGTTGCATTCTTCAAAATATGCAGAAATCATTTTATTCTCTGAGGTGATTTGTAATAACTGTCTCATAACTGACAACATAACCTTTTCACAGGTTATGTTGACAGTTATGAGCCATTGATGTAGTAGGGCAAAAGGGAATATATGGTTTTGTATTTTGTTTTTGGGCTGCACCTAGCAGGACTCAAGGTTTACTTCTGGTTCTGTACTCAGGAATTAACTCCTGGCAGGAGTTAATTGGGGGACCATAAGGGGTGCCAGAAATCAAACCAAAGTTGGCCGTGTGCAACACACGCACCTTGCCCACTGTAATATCTCTGGCCCAAAATACATAGTTTTCTGCTGCATCCAGCTTGCCTTGATTTTAAAAAGCTCCCAATGTTAGGTTGTACTGTAGAAGGAAGTCTGGCCTGTCAGGTAGTTTAGAAAGTGATTAATCTCAAGCAGAGTGACCTCTAGAGGCTAGAGAGAGTTCAGCAGGTATGGCACTAGGCATTCCATTGACCCACTTTTGATCCCTGGTATCCCATATGGTCCCCTGAGCCATCGAGTAATTCCTGAGTGCAGAGCCAAGAGTTAACCCGAGCACCTCTGGGCATGGCCCTAAACACCAATAAAAAATTAGAGTGACCTAGATCTTTGTAAAATTGGGGTCAGTGGGAAGGGAGAATATTTTCCTGGGAATTTGGACAAGAGTATGGTTACAGAATCAGAGACTTGAGGGCTATTTGGGGGGGGGGGGCGGCAGAACATTCTTGGGAAACAGAAGAATATTATTTAAAACAAACTCTTGTCTTCCTGTTTGTTGTTTGTTGTTTGTATGTATGGTGCTCTGAGGTAAAAACTTTTTTTTTCTCCTTCATTTTTGCCTGAGCCATATGTGGGATAATAGAACTAGTTTACAAGCTAGCTTCTTGGTGTGAAGCAGAAAAATGCAGAGAACAAATAGTGACTGGGCTGAGTGGTAGCTCAAGGGCTCGAGTGCAGCTTTTCCACACAGGGGGTCTGCATTTGATCCCCAGCATTGCCTGGTTCCCTGAGCACAGTCTGTTGTGATGTGAAACACTCAGGCATAGCGTGATAACCATGTCTGTCGCCCCAGCTAGTGTCCCACACCTTCCTCTCTGGCTTACTTTTGCCCCCTCTTCTCTGTGTTGTTCCTTTGTTCTGATTCCGGAACCCTAGCAAGTATCGGGTTGTGTCTGCTCCTTTAGCAGTGCACTCTCAGGCAGTGGGTCAGGATCACCCAGAATCGAGGGTTCACCCCTTCAGGCGAAGGGTGAAGAGAAGTTCTGAAATTGCACATCAGTGAGGTTTGTCTGGTCTGTACACTTGGTTTGCAGTAGAGCGCCCCCTCAGATGCAGTTTAATGCAACACTGACCAACACTGGGAGCTACGAGGAAGAAACAGCTCATTTTAGCCTACTAGTAAACTTCCTCTCATGGTATCTTGGTCATTTTAGCCTACTAGTAAAGTTCCTCTCATGGTATCTTGGTAGGCTGGAGCAGCTTGTTCCTGTGCTGCCTCATTTCCTCCTCATGGCTGTTGTCGTGTGCCATTTTCATACTGTGGGGAGTTGAGGGTTTTTTAATAAGTCATTATAAAATAGTTTCAGTTTCCACGAATTGAGCCCGTAATTAAACACAGACTACCTCGGTTGATCAGGTTTGATGTCATTAAGTTTAAGTGATGTCAATAAGTTAAATAAGTTTAAATTCTTATTTCCAAAACTGTAGATGAGCCACCGCTGGACAAAATGGGACATGTTAAAGATGCCAATCCGGAGGACGGAGCTGTCATCAGTGAACCCGGAGACGAGGAAATGGATATGGAAAGCGAGAAGGAGGAAGAGAAACCAAAGGCTGGGGGTGCTTTTGCAAACGCTTTGTCTTCCCTGAATGTTCTCAGGCCAGGTGTGTGTTTGCAAATGCTGCGGGGAACCTAAGTGAGCCCCCGAGGTGGACGGGGTGGAAGCTGGCCAATGCTATTACTTCTGCCTGCTGTGTTGAGAAAACATGGGGCAATTTCCTTTTGCTTATCAAGTGAGGACTAGAAACACCTCAAACTTATTCAGACTTATTCAGGTGGCTGATTTTGTGATTAAAGTGAATGGATTTCAAGTCAATGGATAAATGATATTAAGATAGTTGTGTGTGGATGCCCAAGCAATGGGGATCGTGGCTGATCCGAGTTCGATCCCAGGCATCCCATATAGTCCCCTCAGCATACTAGGACTATTCGAAAGTAGTAATACACTAAATTTTTTTTTATAAGTGAAAGAGCAGTTATTTGATTAATGAATTGCTTTGTTTGTTCAGTAAGTGTGGTTACATTTAAAAATCAATTTAATGTTGAACAGGTTCATGGAGAAAAAATTTATTTTAATATGAAGAAAATTAGACATAGAATTATAAGATATGCTTCAGGTGAATTAAATACTGTTTGCAAGAAAACTACAGCTTTTTTTTTTTAGATTGTGAGATTATTAGTGTTTTAGGTTTTTTTTTTTTTTTAAATTTTGGGGCCATACCCGGCGATGTTAAGGGGTTACTCCTGGCTATGCACTCAGGAATTACTTCAGGTGGTAATCCAGGGGTCATATGGGATACCAGGGATGGAACCGGGTCAGTTGCATGCAAGGCAAACACCCTACCCTCTGTAATGTCTGTCCAGCCCCTGTATTTTTAATTTTTCTCTTTTCTAATTTAGTAATATTTAATTTTGCTTTTACCTTAAAATGTGGGGGAAATTTTCACTGTATCACTGTCATCCCGTTTATCTTCGACTTAATCAAGCGGGTGCCAGTAACATCTCTATTCCTCCCAGCCCTGAAGTTTTAGCAGCCTTTTCTTACTCATCTTTTCTCAATAGTTGGTGTCTCTTTCAGGGTCAGGGGAATGAGTCCTATTGTCATTACTGTATTTGGCATATCGAATACACCACTGGGAGATTGCCAGGCTCTGCCTGTGCGGGCAGGATACTATTGGTAGCTTGCCGGGCTCTCCGAGAGGCATAAATGGGTAGGAAGTGTCTTATAATGTGTCGCACAGCTGCTTTGCGGTCCGGAAAGTGGCCTGGAGCATGGTGGTGGTTGGGCAGTGGAGGTCGGCTGCCAGGGCTGGGTCCCTTGGGGTGACGAGAGCTCTCACCCACCACACAGCCTGGTGCGGAGTCTGGTAGCATGGTTATGGGGGCCTCCTTCTATACTCCCATCTGGGAGGAGCATCCATGAGTTCTGGAGGATGACTGATGAGATTATCTGGTGCCTGTTGCCGGCAGGGTGTGGCTTATGGGTGTGATACTTGGGTCACCTGAGACTGGGGGAAGCAGGCAGAGGCTCTGTTCCAGGTCCCTTGAGTCCAGAGTCCAAGGTCACCAAAGTTCCACATTATCTGGGTTCCATGGGACTGCATTTTTGCGTGAGGCTTGGCCTGCGCTCCAGAAAGCAGCCTGGAGCGTGGCAGTGGTGGTGCAGTGGAGGTTGGCTGCCGGAGGTTGGCTGCCCGGGCTGGATCCCTTGGGGTGGGGAGGGCTCTCACCCGTTCCACAGCCTGGGGGCAATTTTACACTTAAAAAACAGACATGATAGAGGCCAGAGCTATATAACAGTGGGTAAAGTCCTTGCCTTTTAGATGGCTGATGCTGGTTTAATCCTGATACCACATATGGTATCCTAAGCACTGCCAGATATGGCCTCCAACCCCCCCCCCCCAAAAAAAAAAGATGTTTAAAATATAAGCCTGATGTGATGGATTCCCAGCTGCAGTTCTCTCCCATGCATATTTCACTTCTGTAGTTTAAAAGGTGACTTATTTTCTACTTTAATGCGGGGCGGGGGGGTGGGGGGCGGTGTAGACACAAAAAGGGCCAGGGAGATAGCGCCAACTTTTTTTTTAATTGTTGGATTAATTGAATGAACTGGAGAGATAATATTGTGCATCAGACCCTTGGATGAGATGTGGCTTACCCAGATTTAGTCCTTGGAACCACGTATTGTTCCCTAAAGCCCCACCAGGAGTAAATCCTGAGCATCGCCAGATGTTGTTCGAAGAAACCAGACGTAACAGTTGAAGTCGAATTGCAGACAGTTTGGGAAAAGGGCCACCAGCTATTGAGCATCACTTCAGCACAGTTGTCTTGGGGGGAATCTTTTATACTTATTTTCTTTTTAATCCTTGAGACCCTCATACTGCCATGTTTTATTCTTGCTCCGTATTTCCAGGAGAAATTCCAGACGCCGCTTTTATACACGCTGCGAGGAAGAAGCGACAGCTGGCCCGGGAACTAGGGGACTTCACCCCCCATGACAGCGAGCCTGGTAAAGGGCGCCTGGTTCGAGAAGATGAGAATGACGCCAGTGATGACGAAGATGATGACGAGAAGCGCCGCATAGTCTTTTCTGTGAAAGAAAAATCACAGCGACAGAAAATTGCTGAGGAAATAGGTAACTTGATCTAATGGTCCGGACGTCCGCCCTCTGTGTTGCTGTTCCCTAAGAGTGATGCTGTGATCCAGTGCGCCGGCTGTGTCAGGCTGTTTCTATTTGAGGGCTGGCTTGGCTAGGAGAAGCATCTTGGAAGTTTTTGAAAACTAGGGGCTGGACCAATAGTACAGTGGGCAGTTAGATCCCTGGAAACCCCTATGACCCCCAAGTCCTGTATGGGGTGATTCCTGAGCTCAGAGTGGGAGTAAGCCCTGACCCACTGCCAGGTGTGGGCCAAAAGAAAGAATCTCTCTCTCTCTCCTGCCCCCCCTTCTCCTCCCCCCCCCCACCCCCCCCAGCTCAGAGCTGGGAGTAAGCCCTGATCCACTGCTAGGTATAGGCCAAAAGAATCTCAATCTCTCTCTCGCTCTCTCGCTCTCTCGCTCGCTCTCTCTCTCTCTCTCTCTCTCTCTCCCTCTCTCCCTCTCTCCCCTCCCCTCCCCTCCCCTCCCCTCCCCTCTCCTCTCCTCTCCTCTCCTCTCCTCTCCTCTCCTCTCCTCTCCTCTCCTCTCCTCTCCTCTCCTCTCCCCTCCCCTCCCCTCCCCTCTTTCTCTCCCTCTCCTTTCCCCTCTTCCTCTTCCTCTCCTCTCTCTTTTGCAATTTCTGAGAGCTGTTATTAGGTCCTTTCCCCATGGCCATGTTTATGAATCACTCTCACACACGTGAATTGATGCAATGGACTAGTATTGTTAGCGACTTGAGGCTCACCATTTTTTGCTTCAGAGCTTACTGTGGAGGACAGTTCCAGTGAGGAGTATTGAATGAGCATGGAGCGTACAGCCTGCCTCGCAGTACAGTGGCCAGGTTCACATTGCTCTTGGGTCTTGATATTCGTGGAGGAAGTGGTTAGCACGTTTTTGCCTCATCTTTGGTTGACGACTCTGCTTGTTGCGGCTCTAGGTATTGAGGGGAGTGATGATGATGCTTTGGTAACTGGAGAACAAGATGAAGAGCTCAGTCGATGGGAGCAGGAGCAGATCCGGAAAGGAATTAATATCCCTCAGGTAAGAGCTCTATTCCATTTCAAAAACTGGCTGGAGCCATAGCACAGCGGGGAGGGCATTTGCCTTGCATGTGGTCAACCTGGGTTTCATCCCATATGGTCCCCCAGGCACCTCCAGGAATAACCCCTCTGGGTGTGGACCTCCCCCCCAGAAAAAAATTTCAAAAACTCAAAGATGAATAAAATCACTCTTTTTTCATCTACTTTAGTAAAATAATTGCATATTGGATTGGATCTTTGTTATTTGTACAAGTGCAATATTGAAATCATAGTTGAGCGATAGCACATCGGTAGGGCGTTCGCCTTACAAGCGGCCAACATGGCCGACCCGAGTTCGATTCCTCCGCCCCTCTCGGAGATCCTGGCAGGCTACCGAGAGTATTCGATATGCCAAACACAGTAACAACAAAGTCTCCAATGGAGACGTTACTGGGCCCGCTCGAGCAAATCGACGATCAACGGGAGGGCCTTTACTTTTTTACTTATAGTTGAGTTCCAGAGCAACAGGACAGCAGGTGGGGCATTTGCCTTGTGCAAGGCTGACCAAGGTTCAACCTCCAAATGGTCCCCTGAGCACCACCAGGAGTAATTCCTGAGTCCAGATCCAGGAGTTACTGAGCATTGTCAGGTGTGACCTAAAACCAAAACCAAAAAATGGAATAAATAAAATCATAGGGCCAGAAAGACAGTACAGGGCAAGACTTCGCTTGTTCATGGTGGATTGATTTCATCCCCTGTGTGTATTTAGTCCCCGAGCCCCACAAGGAGTGACCCCCTAAGCACAGAGCCAGAGTAAGCTATGAGCTCTGCCAGGTGTTGCCCAAACCACCTCCCTTTCTCCTCCCCCATCATAGTGATGGATATAATAAGTTTTGTAATCACAATGATGGAAATTTTTCTTTTCTTTTTTTTCTTTTGGAAACTTTTCTTATTATTTTTTAATTATTTTTCTCAAAGTGATCCTTCACTTAGCAGCAACATTATGAGAGTCTGTTAGTACAAATAGACTAGTGCAAATTAGTACAAATTCTCACCCTTTTAATGTTTGATGGTGCTGAGGTCTGAATCCAGGGCCTCACACTAACTGGGACAAGTGCGCTACCCAGAGCCACATCTCGAGCTCCCACCCCACCCTCTTCTCCCAAATTCTCATGATCTCTTGAGAGACTGTGTGTGAGAAGCCCCAGGCTCATGCTACCAGGTCTTTGAGATTAGTAGGATTAGTAGGAATCTTTTGTGTGGGTGCAGTACTTCTTCCTGTGTAGTTTTCTGTTTCCTCCCTCGCTTGGTAGATTTGGAAACGCAGAAGTGGAACCCTGGTGGGTGAATGGGAAAATTTCTGTCCTCAGTGTTTGGAAACTGCATTTAGCTTGCATTCAGTTAACGAGGCTTCCACAGGAGGTAAAGTTGAAGGAGTCTCGATTGTAATTGCTTCCTGTCCTCTTTCCTCTGACTATATAAAGGCTTGAGATCCTCTTCTATTAATAAATTAGTGGTCTTGAGCTCTTTGTACTATCCCTTCCAGCACTAAACTTCATAGTTTTTATTTGTTGGGGGGGGGGGGGGCCACATCTGGCAGTGCTCAGGGTTTATTCCTGTCTCCACACTCAGGAATTACTCCTGGTGGTGCTTGGGTGGCCATATGGGATGCCAGTGATTGAACCTAGGTTGGCTGTGTGCAAAGCAGATGCCCTCCCTACTATACTAATGCTCCAGTTACTAAATTCTGAACTGAAATCCTGTGATTTAACCAGCCTGATTTTGATTTTGAAGAGTTCTGCATCAGTTCTCCTTAGACTGCTTACAGAATTTGTGTAATGTTTCCTCTATTATTATTATTATTTTTTGACCTTAGAAACACAATTTCCCCGTTTTCAGGCGGCCATTTTCCTATCTGTCCCTTTCTTCTTCCGTAGGTTCAAGCAAGTCAGCCCACGGAAGTGAACATGTACTACCCGAACACCTACCAGGCAATGCCTTACGGTTCCTCCTATGGCATTCCTTATAGTTACTCGGCCTATGGATCATCTGATGCCAAATCTCAAAAATCAGATAATACAGTCCCTTTCAAAACTCCCAGTAATGAGATGACTCCCGTTACTATTGATTTGGTAAAGAAACAGCTTAAAGACAGGTAGGGCAGATCACCTTCTTAAAGACCCGTCCTAGCTTTCTGTTCCTCAGGCAACGTGTAGTCTGGGCTAGCAGACACTGATTGTCGGCAGAGAAGACTCCTTGGCCTGCCTCCCAAAGCTAACCCCGAAGATGACTTCCTATTGCACTCTGCTGCCTTCTCGTCTTCCTTCTGTGGATGCCTGGAAACGTTCTTTAAAAATGCCACTCCATGAGCTTGTTGAAGACAGTTCTAAGTTTGCACCTTTTGGACTCTGAAAAAAGAAAAAGAAAAGTGTAGTCCAGATACTGGGGGGAGCAAAACAGATTTTGATTAGCCAGATAACTAGATGAAGTCTGTCTGCTGCACACCCCTACTTTTTAATTTTTTTAGGTTTTTTTTTTTTTTTGAGAAAGCAGTACAGATGAAAAGATGCATTTCCTATGATTTTTATATACTAATAGTGGAACTTAATGCATTATAATAATGTTGCAAGAGTCCTGACAGCATAGACTCAGGATGTAAATGTGTTATATTTATCCTTTTGTGTTCTTAAGGTTGGACTCTATGAAAGAATTGCACAAAAGCAACCGCCAGCAGCATGAGAAGCATCTGCAAAGCCGAGTGGACTCGACCAGGGCTATTGAAAGATTAGAAGGGTCTTCTGGGGGTATTGGTGAACGGTATAAATTTTTGCAAGAAATGCGAGGGTATGTCCAAGACTTGCTTGAGTGTTTCAGTGAAAAGGTAAGAATGCAAAAATATTAATCTCTTTGAATAAGGCAAAACTTAGGGTGTTCTAGATGACCGCGTGTATAGATCTTATTTGTCTGTCTGTGTCAAAAAATACCCACTGAATTGAGCTTTAGAATTTATAAAAAGTCACACTTCATTTTCTTCATTTCATTTTATCTTATATTTCATGGCATTCTATCTAGGGGACACTTAAGTGGCTTTGTTACAAATAAATGATAAAGCACATTGCAGTAAAGTATTGGCAAGTCTTGCCTTAATAGGGAACAGAGTGGTGGCCTGAATGAATAGAATCAAAGGAACTTATTTGACAGCACTGTCTTTTATGTGATTCAGGTCTAAACTTAAAAAAAAAATTGGCAAGTAATTCCATCCATACATTCGATTGCAAGATTTTATCAGACTTTTTTTTTTTTAACGCTAAAGTTGATCGTTGCTGTTCCTAGTTTTCATCTAAAAAAGTATAGTTCATTCAAGTATAGTTCATTCATTTCAGAAACCATTCATTGGGCATAATTTCTTTTAAGTTCTTGTTTCTTCTAAGTTCTTCCCCAGTCCCCCAAATAGTCAGCTAGCAAAATATTTGCATTGTATTCTAGTATGTTTGCATTTTTAAAATTTGCTGCATACAAAATCCCCTTTCTTTTCAGATGACTTCTAAAGTAATTCGTCTTCCCACTCAATGCATTGATTTATAAATATTTCTAGACTTCACAACCTTTTCTTGAAAAAAAAATTAAAATCCGAAGTGCTTTAAAGATCCAGTCCCTCAATGACAGGCTTAGTAGATATACTTTTCCGTAGGCTTGACAGTGTGGATTAGTCTAGAAGCATGTCGTATGTTCACAAAAATAGTTTCCCTTTGTCCTCTGCGTCTTGGTCACTCACTCCCCTCAGTCCAGTGGCTGACGAAGCAAACTGCCTGCCTGTGCTTCCTTGTGGGCTTCAGGGCTCCTGCACTCTGTGGTGATTCAGGTCCAGGCCTTTCCAGCACTCATAGACCCTGACCTCCCAGGATTGCTGGAGAAGCAGCCTTTGCCCCCTCCTGGCAGCTTCGGGGCTTAGTTTGACTAGTACAAGGACAAGGTCTGAAAGGTCAAGACCAGAAGCAGGCCTCAGGGTGAGGTATTGCTACAGTGTCCTTCCTTCTGCTGAGGAAACCATTCTGGGCCCTGTGGAGCTGGGTAGGGTCCAGTCTCTCAGGCAGAAACAAAGAATCATTGCTCTAAACCATACTTTGTCAGTGAGGTTTGTCCCTGTAGAGGTTTTTTTTTTTTTCTTTTAACCCTTGAAGTTTCTTGTCCTTTGCTATGGAACTTGACATACTTGTAATTGTAAACTTAACTCTTAAAATATACTGGCTGCAGGCGGGGTGACATGACAGAACAGCATGTGGGGCTCTTACTTTGTATGTGCCAAGCCAGGTTCTTTCCGCAGCACCCCACATGGTCCCTTGAGCCCTGCCAGTAGTGATCCCTGAGCACAGAGCCAGGAGTAAGCCCTGAGCACCACTGGTGTGCCCTTCCCCCCTTCAAGAATAGAGAAATTTGATTAACAAGATTATGTCATTCTTGAATTAAAGTTATTAGCAGGGCAAATAGATCAATAGTTTTCATTGTTGACTATTTTAAAAATAATTCATTGTGTACCTTCTCTTTGATGACCCTGTTCTTAGCAACATCTAGAGCTGTGTGCTAATAAGGTTTCAGAGTTCCATGGAAAATATTGTAGGAACAGACTTTGCACCTCATTTGTTACTTTTTTTTTCTTTTTTGGGTCATACCCGGCGATGCACAGGGGTAATTCCTGGCTCTGCACTCAGGAATTACCCTTGGCTGTGCTCAGGGGACCATATGGGATGCTGGGAATCAATCCCGGGTCGGCCGCGTGCAAGGCAAACGCCCTACCCGCTGTGCTATTAATCCAGCTCCAGTTACTGTATTTTAAAGTGAGGTAGCTATCGCTTTAAAGATGAGTATTTTAATTCATTTTGACATTTTCATATGCATTCAGTTTTATAAAGAGGGCTGCAATAATTTATGTCATCCTGGAGAAGTTTAGGAGCAATTGAAATATTCATGTTATACTGTAAAACTACTTGTCCAGGGTAAGACCATAAAAAGATAAACATTCCTTGGGTTTTTTGTTGTTATAAAAGTTTATGTGGTTTTAAGTTATTTGCAGATCATTTTAACTTTCCATTGTTTTGTTTCCCTATAGTCATCTTCCTTGTGTTCTTCACCCTCATTTTGGTCCTGAAATAATATAGTCAGTAACAATTTCAGATTTGGAGAGGGTCAAGAAAATGTCATGGTGCATACAGATTTCTCTGGTCTTTGTGAAAAGGAGCTTTTAAGCAGAGGATCACATTAGAATTTTCCCTGTAAATTGAGTAGTTAAATTATATAGAATGCCACTTTGGGTGTGAGGCTTTCACGGTGGAGGATGCAGACAGTGTCCAGGATGAAAAGGTTGCACCCTAGATTCCATTGGTCCATCTCGCTATGGCCCTGCAGGGCTTGTAGAAATTCAGGGGCAGGTGTCAGTCACAAAGATGGATCCCAAGTCACTCGAGCCCCATCAGAATAATTGATGCATGGTGCAGAGTCTCCGGGCTCCATTGCCAAAGATCCTGCCAATTTGGGGACGTTGCTGCCCGGGCCATGGCAGACAGCCGTGACTCCATCATTTTGAGCTGTCTGGGAACATGCTGCTTTTGCAGTGGCCTCATGCATGTGCATGAACTCGCTTTTACTAGACATCTCTGTATTCCACCTGTGGGTTGTTCTGCGTTTTCCCCCCCTTTTTTAAAATTTACCATTTGCATTCTGTTCTAATCGGAAGCTGTGGTTAACACTTGGTGCCAGTGTTCCCAGACTCTAAATAACTAAATTGCGCTAACATTCAGGAAACTAGAATTTCTGGTTTCCTTGGGTATGTGTAATGGTCATTTGGTTATAAGTTAAGGTTTATCTGAGTAAGGAGGGATCCTTTTTAAGTTAGATCACGTTCTATAAGCTTTCATATTCTGTATGAACCAAGGGAATGCTTAACTACAGATAATAACCTCAAAAAGTATATTGCCTTTTCAAGCGAAAATTTTGTGGTAAAATAAAGAAAAATTTAGATATTTGATATACCTTTGGTTTTAAGGTATATTGATTTTAGATAGGTTAAGTGATGAGAATTTTATTTGCCTTATTCTTATGTAAAGCAATGCAGTTCACATTTAAAATATGGAGTAAGGTTGCAAAATACTCTTAATATTAAGTGTGACAATAATATGTAAGAACAATTTAGTTGTTGTATAAGAAGGCAGTTAGAAGATTCTTACTCTTAACTATAGAAGTGACGAAGGCCAGAGTGATAGTACAGCAGGTAGGGGGTTTGCCTTGTATGCAGTTGATCCTGGTTCTATCCCCAGCACCCCAGATGGTTCCCCAAGCACCATCAGGAGTAGTTCTTGAGTGCGGAGCCAGGAATAAGCCCTGATTATTGCCAGTTGTGCCCCAAAACAAACAAACAAACAAAAAAATTAAACAAATGTACTTGAAATAAATACTACTTTACAGTTATTTTATTCTAAAGGAAAATCACTGAAAATCTTGACATTACTCTATCTTCTTTACTAATACTGACTGTTGAGTTTCCTAACCAAACTTTTGCTTCAGTAGCTCGGTACCGGACATTAGAGTACTATGGGAGGATTAAAATGAAGAAGTGATGTTTCCTAAACATCACCAAACTCATTTGCTATTTGTGTCCCATTAGGAAGTCATGGTGGTTCTGTCCATAGAGAGGGTACTTTTTCAGAAATCCGGAAATAGGATGGAACCCTCAAATAAGGAAGCAGCTGAGGAGTTTGGTGTTACGGAGTGTGTTGTATTTTTACAGGTGCCACTGATTAATGAACTTGAATCAGCAATACATCAGCTGTACAAACAGCGCGCTTCCCGCCTTGTCCAAAGACGACAAGATGATATTAAAGATGAATCTTCGGAGTTTTCAAGCCATTCAAGTCAGTCCATCTTGAAGGTTTTTATTATTCATTAAACAACCTTGTTTACTTAGTGCAGTCTAATTGAAAATTAGAGATCTCAGAGCCTTTTTTTCTTTTTTTTTTAAGCTATTGTTTCCTTGTTCTTCTTGTGTTGGGTAGATGTATAAAAGTCACATAGCTGATTGTATTCAAGAAAATACAGCTGCTCTGAGGAGCTCAAAAGCATGTGCCAATATTCTGTCGATCTTACTCTTGGGATATGTCTTTTACGTAGTCCGGGGTGGAGGGTGGTAACACAAACCTTAATCTGTTTGGCCATGATTAATTCTCTCCAACTTCTGTTTTCTTCTTCTTCATACCACCAATAAAGGTGCTACTGTGAAAGATTTGAAATTTGGGAAGGGATGGATGGAGGTTGTAGCCAAGATTAGGGGATTTTTGAGCTTCATCCCTTCGATAAATAAAAATTTTGTATTTTTAAATTTGGGGGATATTTTCCAGTTTGTCTTAGATATTAGGTTTTGGTAAGTCAGCTCTGCCTATAATTTCTGAAATTTTAATGTTAGCAATTTAGAAATTGATTCTGTGGTTCTTTCATTATGACGTTGTTATGAGAGACCAGTCTCTTACAGAGGTTGTCAGTCTCATATTAAACGATTAGGCTGAGGTCATTTAAACCTCTGAAGTTCAGTTTTCACATTGCTCTTTATGTTCTGGGGTTCTCTTATGGAAAATTTCCTGGTATGGATTTCTTGTGACTTTTCTCAAATAGACAGGATGTGTTAAAATTACCCATGATATTTATTTAGGAATGCATATTTCCGGTTCTGTCCCCACAGTGAGTCTTGCTGGGTTTAGTATCATATCCAGTAATCTGCATGTTCAGGTGACACAGGGGCAATGGGCCCTCTGGTTATTGTTTCTGAAATATTGCTGTCGTTAAGGGTGTCATGGGAACTGGAGAGACATTGGATACCCGAGAAAGGATGTCCTGTGTGCCAGATGGGGTCTGGAGTCAGAGAGGGTGGTGATAGGCCCTCTAGTCTGTGTCAGACTCAGCTTTGAGCAGTACATGTGACTTTGACCTTCAGTTTTTGCCACTCAAGTTTCCACTGAACAGTCGCTATATTATTGGGCACCTAAATGACTAACGTATCCCTCCCAGATCACTTTTGATCCAGACAGAACCAGATTTCTGGGGCAGATGACAGGTAACCATAGTTCCTCTGAAGGAAAGTCATATTCTTGTCAGTGAAATGGTGTGAGCTGTGCTCTTCATCAGATACTTTGCTTGCCTATAGTGTTTTTTTTTTTTTTTTTTTTTTTTTACAATTTAAAGCTGTTGCCTGGTATAGATTCCGAAATGATGGATGTACTTTACATTGGGAATGGGAAGTAGAATTGAAAAAGTAGTATGAAAGTGAAAAATGCACCCCTAGAGGGGGTACTTAATAGAAGCCAAAGATTTGATGAAAATAACTTGGGCTGCTAAAGTATCAGTTCCTTCTCTGGTCTCTTTAAGGAAACCAAAATTTAGACTAAACAGACTTATGAGCAGTTGTTACAATTGTCACAATTACTTCTACAGACATGAAAGAAGACCATCACTTGAGTTAACCTAATCTCTCATATCTTTCTCTCTATATATTTAAAACCTGTTAGCAACATTCTTAGTTTTCTTTTCTTTTTTCTTTTTTTTCCTTTTTGGGTCACACCCTGCTATGCACAGGGGTTACTCCTGGCTCTGCACTCAGGAATTACTCCTGGTGGTGCTCGTGGGACCATATGGGATGCTTGGAATCAAACCTGGTCGGCCGCCAGCAAGGCAGATGCCCTACCCGCTGTACTATCGCTCCAGCCCCACATTCTGAGTTTAATATAGCAATGAATATTGACTAAAATAATTCTTGAGTGACAATCCTTCTTAAAGAGGCAGGGGTCTTTTTAACTAAGTCATGGTTGGTATATAGCAAATTCACATTTGGGGTAGAGCTGAAAATCATCTTCTCCACTGGTTATAATTATAATTAGTGAACTCTGGTATATCCTGTCCCACGAATATCTGAATTATTTTAAAATATGAATGAAAAATAGCAAAAAGTCAACTTTTAAAAATAATAGCATCAGGGACGGGAGTGATAGTATAGTGGATAGAGTGTTTTTGACGCAGGTTCTCTTAAGTTAGGCTAGAGAAAAGACCCAGAGACACTACCATTGGGGGACCCCCAACTAAAGAGTTGCCTTTTTCACCTTGTGATTTGATAGATATCTGTTAATACAGCTCTGAATGGGGAGTTAGGGATCATCAGGCACATTCACAGACAAAATCTAAGGCACGAGGAGACATTGCAGGTGGTAGAAAAGTTTCAGACAGAACTGATAGCCACAGGGAGACCATGGAGGGCCTTATCCACATGGGGGGGTGGGAGTAGAATAGAAACAGAGGAAGTACCATCCCTTAGAAACTGAGAATTGGTAACTGAAATATAAATTTAAATTGGAAGGTTTGATGCTAGAGCCAGAAAACTCCGATGAGTCAAGAAAAGAGAGATGAATGGAAAATAAGAAAGGAGGTTTTTTGCTACGAAAGGGTAGTATTTTAAAATGCTTAAGGTACTTTAAGAAAAAGGAAGTTTTCTGTATACAGAGCTGTTTCTGCCTGTTTCCTAGAAGCGACAATAGAGAATGAATTTCAGTGAAGTAAATTGGAGCAAAATAGAAGAAATGATTGAATTCCAACAACAGAACTTCTCTCATTCTATCCTGATTCTTTGCTGTCTTTTATATCATTCAGCACATTCTTCCTTTAAAAAATAGTCAGATAACTTAGGTTTTTAATTTTCTTGCACTTGAATACCATAAACTAGTTGTAAGGCATAAGAACTTCTACTTAGATGCAAGAATAAGTTTGCACGCCCAATTGCGTTTGTGTCGGGCGATGAGACTTTGTTGATTTTCTATTACTTTTTCTTTCTTATTTTTTTTTTTAATGGGAACAATAAAGTTGAGGTTTGCTCTGAACTAGAAAATAGCTGGTTTACCAGGTACTGCAGAGTCCTGTTGAGATGAGCCAGCATTGTCATGGCTCATTCTGTGCAAACTCTTTCCTCGGGATTGTTGAGGGAAGGCTTGTAATTGTAACTATTGCTGTTTTACAGATAAAGCTCTGATGGCTCCCAATCTTGATTCCTTCGGACGAGATCGGGCACTGTATCAAGAGCATGCAAAGCGTCGGATTGCCGAACGGGAGGCCAGGAGGTAATTTCAGGATGCCCTGGTGGTCAGTGGGATGGCCCTGGGAGCTTTTCTCATATCTGGTTTGGGAACTTGCTATTTTGCTTTTCAGGACTCGACGTAGACAAGCCAGAGAACAAACAGGGAAGATGGCAGATCACCTTGAAGGCCTTTCCAGTGACGACGAGGAAACTTCAACGGACATTACAAATTTTAATTTGGAAAAAGGTTAGCAGTGTATTTGGAGATCAGTTTCATTATCAGTTTGACTTATGACTGAGTACTGGGCTGGAGGAGGGAAGTTTGAACCCCCATACCCGGTGATTCTCAGGGGTCCTTGTAGTGCTGGGGACATAATGGGGGTCAGCCACATGCAAAGCAAGCGCCTTAACCCCTTACTCTCTCTGGGTATGGCATGTATTTTTGTTTGCTTGTTTTTGTTTTCGAGGCAGCCCGGGGGTACTCCGGGGACCACATAATAATGGGGTTTTGAGGGTTAAAGCTGGGGTTGGCAGTATACGAGGCAAGCTCTCTCCCCCGCTGTACTTGGGCTCCAGCCCCCTTGCTGGTCCTTTAAAATTCCAGTTCTTCTTGATGAACCTATCTTATTAATAGGTTACAAAGAAAACATTTTGAAGACAGTGAACTGGACTAAATTTTGATTCTCTCTGGTTTTATTGCTACTGTTGTTTCTAGATCGCATTTCAAAAGAGTCCAGCAAGGTGTTTGAAGATGTCCTTGAGAGTTTCTATTCGATCGACTGTATCAAGTCCCAGTTTGAAGCATGGCGTTCAAAGTACTACACGTCCTACAAGGATGCTTACATTGGCCTTTGCTTGCCAAAGTTGTTCAACCCCCTCATCCGGCTGCAGCTGCTCACGTGGACTCCTCTGGAGGTGCGTGACTCCACCATCCCCAGCCAGGGTGCATGACTCCGGACTGGGGGTGTGAACTGAACACAAAATAGCTTTCAGGAGAGATAGAACCAAGGGTGTCAGTCACAGTCACGGACTTCAGGGCTTCTGCCCCACCGTCTCCTGAGCCAGCTCCTTTGGCTTATTGAGTCTTATGCTCACTCTGTTGCAAACTGCTTGTCCAACTCCCCTCTTGACTCTTGGGCTTCTGATGTGCAGAGTTTCGGTTTGGTTTGGGTTTTGGGCCACGCTGGGCTGTGGTTACGGACTACTCCTGACTCTGTACTCAGGAATTACATCTGGCGGTGTCCCGGGGGACTATATGGGATGTCGGGGATAGAACCCAGGTGGGCCATGTGTAAGGCGAGCACCCTGCCCTCTGTACCAGCTCTCCAGTCCCTTGATAGGATTAGTTAATCTCCATCTGATCAAAATAACCAGGACCCTTGCTGGTGCCCTTTTGTGGTCACCAGTCAACCTCATTCCTCCTTCCTTGGCATTCTCCGTATATTGTTCAGGGCCAAAGGCTTGCTATCCTTCAGCCTTTTTTGCTGGTTCGCATGTTTCACTAACAGCAGGTATGTGAGAACATCTGGTATTTTTTGTTCTCCTGTGGACTGATTCCACTCAACCCGGATCCGAGGTCCTGGGCCTACCCTCCCCACCATAGAAGATTCTCATTTCTGTGCGATGCTTGGTTTGAAGGCTGACTCCAGTCCAGTCCGTCTTCTGTGGCTAGAAGCACGTGTTTGATAACTTGTCGTATTTTCTAGGCAAAGTGTCGAGACTTTGAGACTATGCTGTGGTTTGAATCGCTGCTATTTTATGGCTGTGAAGAACGAGAGCAAGAGAAAGATGATGTGGATGTCGCACTGCTGCCGACCATCGTGGAGAAGGTGATTCTTCCGAAGCTCACAGGTGAGGTCTCCTCTAGCCCTCGGGCTTCCTCCCAGCAGATCTTCAGCCCGAGCCTGGACTCTGCTCCCAGGGGGTTCTGGGGAGAGAGGGCTGTACCCCAAGTTGGGGGTGATGATTGGTCCTGGCTGCGCTTTAGAGACTGTAGTCACCAAACCACAGCGTCTTGGTGGAGAGAAACCTTTTCTGGGGAGCACTTAGAATGTTTGTGTTACTTTCTTAGGGAAAATTAGGAATTGTGGGCCGGAGTAATTCCAGTAGGAAGGACCTTGTCTTGCATGTCACTGACCTGGGTTCAGTTCCCTGCACCTCCTAGGGCCCCCCAAGCCTGCTAGGAGTGACCCCTGTGTGTAGAGCCAGGAGTAAGCCCTGAGCACTGCCAAGTGTGGCTCCAAACTCCCCTCAAAAAATTTGTGAATCCTGAAATAGGAGCCTGTTTTACAAATTTCAAATGTAATTGCAGTTATTGATATGCCTGGATATTCATCTCCTAGAATATTTTTTTTTTCCCTCCAGAAATTCTCCCCATCCTGGCCTCCAACACATACATATACCTACACACACGGGGCGGGGGGGGGGGGGGGGGGTGAGGGAAGGAGGCTGGGAGAGGAGGGGGCAGAGAGAAAGAGACAGGGACAGAGACAAAGAGACAGAGATCCTGAACATTCCTACAGTTAGTGCAGCAGTCAGAGATGGGGCCAAAGGGATTGGACAGTTGGGTAAGCTGCTTGCCTTGAACAAGACTGCCCCTGGTTTGACACTCTACGCTGTAAGGAGTGACCCCTGAGCCCAGAACAACACAGGATGTGACTCCAAAAGATGATTGTAACTTAGACTGTAGTAGTGTTTCCCTCCTTAAGGTGTATGTGTCGTGTTGTGTCATCCCATCTCCCCTCAGCTCCCCAAGGACTGGGAGGATGCAGGAAGGGGGCTGTAGGAACTCTGGGTGTAATTGGGGGTGAATTGTTGTTTTATTTTTATTTGTTTATTTTTGGCTTTTGGGCCCACACCCGGCGATGCTCAGGGGTTACTTCTGGCTCTGCATTCAGGAACTACTCCTGGCAGTGCCTGGAGGACTATATGGGATGCCAGGGATTGAACCCGGGTAGACCATGTGCAGGGCAAGCACCTGACCCATTCTGCTATTGCTCCAGCCCCTGATTTGTTGTTTTAAGTAAGTTTCCAGGGGTGCAATGAGCAATTCAATTTTTTTTTTTTTCTGAAAAAGGACAGTGGGCCAGAACTGTTGGTGAGCCTGTTTAGAGAGAGACATGAGTCAGGATCGGCATTTATAAATTGGGGTTTTCTTTTTCTTTTTTTATTATGGTTACGTGTTTACTCCCTGTTCTCCACTCAGCCCCTTAGTTCTGACCTGTGGTTGCTCCCCTCCTTGGTGCTCTCAATGGGCTGGCCAGGCCTTGCTGTCCTAGCTGAGACCCACAGGTTGCCATCAGTGGGGCTCACGCATGTGCCGAGATGGCCTGGGTGGCTGTCCAGCTCTCCTCTCCTCCCCACCCCACCTGGCCTGGGCTGTGGGGTGTGTGCCCAGCTGCAGTGCCATGGGGAGTCGCTTGGGACATTCTAGATAGCAGGCATCAGGGTGGCCAGGCCCCAGCTCCTCAGGGCCCTCAGGATCATGCTTGGCACATGTGGGGCACCAGGAGCCTAACCTTGTGACCGTGTGCATCCGAGGCAGACGCTAAGCCCCTGGACAGCTCTGCACCTTGACATCAGACTTAACTCTCGTGCTGTTTACGTTTATATCTAACATGGCCTGCCTTTTCCTTTCTAGTGATAGCAGAGAATATGTGGGATCCTTTTTCTACAACACAGACATCAAGAATGGTCGGGATTACACTAAAATTAATAAATGGATATCCTTCGGTAGTGAATGCAGAAAACAAAAACACGCAGGTAATGCATGATATTTTATTATGACACTCCCCCCCCGCCCCCCCCGCCACACACACACCTTTCTGATAATGAGCAAGTACTGCGATAATTGGAGCGTTTATTGCAGGCTAGGCAGAGCATCTAATGCTCCCACATGGGCAGTCTTGTCCTGTGTGGCCTGAGAGATGGGAAATCTGAGAGAGTTTTCAATTAGAAAATGTCTCAGTAGGGGCCAGAGTGATGGTACAACAGATAGGGTGCTTGCCTTGTATGTGGCCTGTCTGGATTTGGTCCCCAGCACACCATATGGTCCGCTAGGCCCCCCTCAGGAGTAATCCCTGTGCGCATAGCCAGGAGAAAGCCCTGAGCACTGCCAGATGTGGCCCAGAAACCCCAACATCTCTGTACACGGATTACACGGATGCTACGTTTAGTCTAGGTAGCCTGTATTAGTCCCTTTGAGTCGCCTCGCCCTCACTCTCAGTGGGATCAATGGAGCATGTGTTTACGAAGCTCCACTGGTGTGGGGGCGTCATTTGTGGCTCATTTCTCAACATGTCACTCCTGGCACTGCTCAGTGGCCAGTATGTGGTGCTGGGGATAGAACCCAGGCTTCCCATTGTGAAGCCTGTGCTCTAGTCTTCGGCTCACTTCTTTTGCATATCTCTTGGAACTGGAAAGATAGCCCAGGGGTTAAGGGTTACCTTGTACCTGGTGAATTTGGTTCCCTCTCCAGCACCACACACAGTCTGCCCAAGCAGCCCCTGGAATAAGCCCAGAGCGAGGCTGGGTGTAAACCAGCACCACCCACTATTGGGAGGGGCATGGAAACACCAGCGAAATTACAATTCCAAGAGCAGGTAAGAGAGCCAAGTGCTGTTTTATAACTTGTTCCCAGCCCTCAGATGTCATCATCCTTGGTAGACACCAGGAGCTATTCAGATGTGGAAAGGGCGCGCCATAGCGCTCCCCCAACCCCCATTCTTAGAAGCACACGGTTACAGACAAGCAGGGAATGGTTTCGAAATGGCTTGATTGCTTCATAGTTGTTGAGGGGCCAAGCAGGAGTCTATGTGAAAGATTGTAAGGCCTTTCATGAGGGTAGTTGGGAAGACGGTTCACTAGAGAGTTATACTCAGAGAATTATGGTCTGAAATAGGACATTATTTTCCTTTCTCAAGAATGAACTTTCACCAAACCCTCATTAAAGATGTGCTCTGTCTTGAACACTTTAGGTATACCTGAAGGCGCTCCTATTGAGAATGAGAAGAACATTAGATGATGATGTCTTCATGCCCTTATATCCCAAAAAGTAAGTGACTTTTAAAAATTACCATATAGGGCCGGCATAATAGTATAGCTGCTGGGGAGGACGTTTGCCTTGCAGCCGATTGGGGTTCAATCCCTGGCATCCCATATGGTCCTGAGTATGACCCCCCTCCCCTCTCAAAACAAAACGTGTGTGTGTGTGTGTGTGTGTGTGTGTGTGTGTGTGTGTATTATTGTTAAATTATCCTCCAGGGCAAACTTTTTAAGTTTGGGGAAACTAAAGCTTTCTTATGAAAGAATCTTTCCTTTTTTCAGTGTGAACCTGTTGCCCAAAGAAACTAACTCCATGGGGCCAGCTTTTCCCTTAAGCAGAGAAAGCAAAACAGTGCTTTGCTGCCACTTAGTACCTTGGAGTAAATTTTCTCTGCTTTCTACACTTAGTATCTTCTGAGATACAGATGTTTGAAAATGACCTGATTTTTTTTATGTATTTTACTTGTAGACAGCTTTTCTTCTTGGAATCATATAGTACTTAAATATAGAACATTTGATCATGCTGTTTCTCTTTCAGTGTCTTGGAAAATAAAAATTCTGGGCCTTACTTGTTTTTTCAACGGCAATTTTGGTCTTCAGTTAAGGTACGTATCTTTGTTGTGCTGTTTGACCTTATTATATTTTGTGGAGTATTTTCCTGTTTCATTAAGTTGCTTCCCCAGACGCTTAGCTCTGCCAATAGATAAGAATTCTTAATCTTAACAAAGCAATTTTTTTCTTTTTGGGTTATACCCAGCGATGCACAGGGGTTGCTTCTGGCTCTACACTCAGGAACTACACTGGCGGTGCTCAGGGGACCCTGTGGGATGCTGGGAATTAAACCCGGGTCAGCCTCATGCAAGGCAAATGCCCTACCCGCTGTGCTATTGCTCCAGCCCCTTAACAAAATAATTTTTATTCTTAAAGTTTCTTCAGGTTTGCTTTCTGCACAATAGATAGTAATTTCTGGGTTCCAAAGTTAGGAACGAACTGTTCACCAAAATGCCTTGCTGAGCCCTGGCGTATCAGAAGGGGAGCAGGCTAGAGCAGTGGGCATTACAGAGTCATGGCCTCTGGGGCTGCACCACCCAGCCCGCTCGGCAGATGGGCACATACATGGTTTTTAAGTTGGGTTTTTGTATTTCACTCATGTGTGGCACATAAAGTTGTGTAAACACAAAAAGGCAGCAGCGGTCTGTCTCTCCCGCCGTCCATGTTTGATAGTCTCAGGCTGTTTTCCCCACTCCAGGGAGGTCGATGGCGTTGGTTAGGCGAAGGAAGGAAATGAGGGCCAGGCTGGTTGGTCTTAGCTGCAGTTTATTCCAATCCTCTCTCCATTCACTCCTGTCTCTCCTCTGCCCACTCTTCAGTCTCATTACTCCTTGATTACTCATTACTTCAGTCTCCATTCACTCCTGTCTCTCCTAGCTCACTCTTCAGTCTCATTATATCCTAGAAATTTAGGTCATGGAGGGCCCAGGTTCTCTCAGACCTGTGACCCCCAGGTTCTCTCTGGCCTGTGTTCCCTTACAGAGCCCCTAAATCTCCCTTTATTGATCATGGTACCTCCAGAGGGTGCAATGCAGTGATGTCATCAAAAGGAGTTACAGAAAGAACATTGAGGCAGCAAAACATACATTGTTTCTTTACATCTGTAGGCCAGTAATTTTGGCCTCCTGAAAGAACATACAAAACTAAAAACTTTCTCAAGCACTCTCACAAGCCACAAGCACTTGGATTTGCATCCCAAAGACTAGTCTGCTAGAGCTTGGAATCTACAACCCAAAGTTAGGCCTGGCTAGCACCTGAGATCTGCATGTCAAAGACCAGCCAGGTTTCTGTGAGAGGCTGGGGGCTACAAAGGGAGAGGGCCTTCAGTAGAAGGTGGGGGGACATTGTGATCATGGTGCAGTAACATTGCACCCTAACACGGCTCCTTCCAGATTTGTAAACCAGCGTAGCTTCATGAAAATAAGATGGAGGGAAATGTTTTCTTTGTTGCTTACAAGTAGAGAACATGGGGGATGGAGAGATTGTGGGGATAAGGCATGTGGTCGACCCTGATTCAATCCCTGGCGCTATATGATCCTTGGAGTACTGCCAGGAGTGATCCTGGAGCACTGCCGGTGGTAGCCAAGCCAACCCTCCCCCACCCCCAGGGGGAAAAAATAACTTGTTGCATGTTTATATGTCTATATGGCAAACATGAACTTTTGCTCTAATTATCTTGTAAATTCTCACAAGTCCTGGAAACTAGACTCTTGTGCTCCTGGTACAACATGCACAGAGTTGTCTGTAGAGGGTGGTTCTTCTGGTGATACTCCAGAAGAGTGTCACTCTGGAGCAGCTCTTGCCGCTGGCCTCAGTGAGAAGAAAGGTCACCAGGGCTCTGCCGTGGCCGAGGTGCTTGGGGCGCTTCTTTCCCGTTCATGTAGAATGGTACTAGCTTTGTCCTGACCCTGGGAAAAGAGTGAGGAGTTTTCTACAGGTTTTCATTCTTAGGAAATCCCTGCCTAATTAAGAAGTAGCAGTTCCAGAACTTGAATCACTGGAGTGGCTGTAGGGTGCAGAAAGAGTGACTTAATTAGCCCGTGGGAAGGGGGAGAAAGGGATAGCACAGATAGAGGTGGGAGGCAAGAGTGACAGTTCTAGGAGACTTGGAGCATCTTTGACCTCTAGAGTGGAGAGATCTCAGCTTCTGCCTGACCCATCTTGAGGTTCTGTAACTTGAGGTCGCCATGTTGATTTATTTGTTTATTTATTTATTTATTGCTTTTTGGGTCACACCTGGCGATGCACAGGGGTTACTCCTGGCTCTGCACTCAGGAGTTACTCCTGGTGGTGCTCAGGGGACCATATGGGATGCTGGGAATTGAACCCGGGTCGGCCGCGTGCAAGGCAAACGCCCTATCCGTTGTACTATCTCTCCAGCCCCATAGATCTAGGGTTTTAATGTGTATTCTGCAGTAAAGAACTTCCAGGGGCCAGAGAGTACAGCGGGTAGGTACTTGCCTTGCATGCTTCCAAACTGGGCTTCCGTCCATTGTCACCCCATATGGGCCCCTGAGCCCCACCAGGAGGAATCCCTGAGCACTGCTGGGTGTGGCCAAAATTTAAAAATAGGAATATCTGTTATGTTTTTTCTCTCTCCCTCCTTCCTCCCTCCTATCCTCCCTCCCTTTTTCCTTCCTTTCCTCTTTCCTTTTCCTTTCCTTTCCTTTCCTTTCCTTTCCTTTCCTTTCCTTTCCTTTCCTTTCTTCCTTTCCTCCTTTCCTTTTTTTTGGTGGGAGAGGATGTTGGATGTGTCGTAGAACTGTCTTTGGCATGATTTAGTGTTGGGGTTCTTGAACCACTTCTGTCAGTGCTTTGGGCTTATTCTTGGCTTTGTGCTCAGGGGTCATTCTGATAGTGCTCAGGGAACCATATGTGATGCTGGGGAGTTAAGCTGCATGCAAGACAAGTGCCTTAACCTTTGGACTGTCTCTTACACCCTGGCTTGGCTTTGAATGGGAAACATTTACCTGACAATCAGCACTAACATAGTTGTACTTTTTGTAATGGACAGGAAATGTTTTATATCCAGTCTCTAATATGGTAGACATCAAGCTACATGTAATGGTGGTTTTAGTACAGTAATTAAGTTTGTTAAAATTGAAGATTCAAATCCTCCAATTCTGAAGTCCTCAGATTTTGAAATGTTTTGACCTTTTAAAGGAGTAGTTGTCAAGTTGCCATATAACTCACTCCCTTTCTACCTAATTGGATTAACATTGCTTCTCATTTTTTTCTCTCTAGCTATTAGGGAATTTTCTTCAGTGGTGTGGCATTTTCTCAAATAAAACTCTACAGGAATTATCAATAGATGGCTTGCTAAACAGATACATTCTCATGGCTTTCCAGAATTCAGAATATGGAGATGACAGCATCAAAAAAGCCCAAAACGTGAGTTCAGTGACACGTCACCATTTTTCAGAGTACATCAACCAAAATGAATGTTTTTCTTTGGTTAGAAGAAGATCTGAGATTCTATAAAAAGCTCTTTGGTTGTTGTAAGTTGACAATTTGCATGCTCAGAATGTTTCAGACCCTCACAGCAATATACACACAATGTGTACCTGAAGCAGCTTGCTTTGCACGCAGCTGATGTGGGTGGTTCGAGCCCTGGCACCCCATGTGGTTCTCTGAACCCTGCCACTCTGTACCCAAGTGCAAAGCCAGGAGTCAGCCTTGAGCACACTGGGTGTGACCCTCAAGAAACCAAAACAATAAAAAATTAACACCTGTGGACTAGAGAGATACTTCAAAGGGTAACAGGCTTTTCTTATATCCTGCTTACCTGGGTTTGCTCCCTGGTGTCACATATGGTTTCTTGAGTGCTGGGCACCTCTGGACGTGACCAAAACATAGATAGATAGATAGATAGATAGATAGATAGATAGATAGATAGATAGATAAATGGATAGATAACGTCTCCACTGTAAGACTTCTTGTTACTGTTTTTGGCATATCAAATACACCATGAGGAGCTTGCCAGGCTCTCCTGTGAAGGTGGGATATTCTAGGTAGCTTGCCGGGCTCTCCGAGAGGGACAAAGGAATTAAACCTGGGTCAGCTGCATGCAAGGCAAACGCCCTACCTGCTGTGTTACTATCGTTCCAGCCTATATATATATCACTGTCATCCCATTGTTCATCGATTTGCTCGAGTGGGTTCCAGTAACGTCTCCATTTGTCCCTGAGATTTTAGCAGCCTCTCTTTACTCATCCTTCCCAATGGTGCCGCATTGGAGGCTTTTTCAGAGTCAGGGGAATGAGACCCATTATCATTTTTGGCATATCGAATATGCCACGTGGAGTTTGGCAGGCTCTGCCGTGTGGGCAGGATACTCTCGGTAGTTTGCCAGGTTCTTCGAGAGGGCGACCTGGACTATAAGAGGTTGTGTGTGTGCTTCTGGGAGCTTTGTTTTATACTCTCTGGATTTTGGCTGTTGATGGATTACATGGCGGGCGGGGGGGGGGGGGCAGTTTGTGGGTGTGACTGCCTAGCTAATGGAAAATGGGGAATCTGGGTGGAGGAGTCCCAGTCCCCATCCGAGATGGAGACTTGGAGATTGGAATGTGTGTGTTTGTGTGTGTGTGTGTGTGTGTGTGTGTGTGTGTGTGTCCGAGCAGGCTTGGAGATAGATATCCGAGCAGGCTTGGAGATTGGAGAGAGAGAGAGAGAGAGAGAGAGAGAGAGAGAGAGAGAGTGTGTGTGTGTGTATATACACACACATACAGAGAGAGAGAGAGAGAAGAGAGAGAGAGATAGGTACTAGAGAATGGGAAATCTGGTGGAGGAGGCCCAGTCCCGATCCGAGCAGGCTTGGAGATTGGAGTGTGTATTTGTACACACACTCACACTTTATATGTGTATATATCTCCATCTATAGCAGTATTTTTGTATGGTTAAAAAGTTTTAATTTGGGGGGCCGGAGCTATAGTACAGCGGATAGGACGTTTGCCTTGCATGTGACTGACCTAGTTTGATCCTCGGAATTCCATATGGTACCCCGAGCAATGCCAGGAGTAATTTCTGAGTGCAGAGCCAGGAGTAAACCCATGAGCATTTTGGTATGACCCAAAAAGCCCCCCCCCCCAAAAAAAAGTTTTAATTTGGTCATCATTGTTAATTTGTTTAATTGTTTAATTTGGTCATCATTTGTATATTAAATATTACTCAAGCAGCATTTTCGGCATTTAAGAAATAATTTTGTGGAATGGCGTTTGAACCATACCTGGCTTTGCTCAGGGCGTGGTAGGAATGAAACCAGGATGAGCCACATGTGGGCAAGACCTGAACCCCTGTGCTATCTCTTTAGCCCCAAGAAATCTTTGTCTTTTTTGTGGGGGTGGGGCAGGGGGTGGTATTAGTTTCTTTGCTACATGTATGAGCTACACAGTTTGATCGTTGTTTTTGTTTGGTGTTGGGGCCGGGTCCTTGGTGCTCAGGAGCCCAGTGTGGGTCCGAGGCTTAGTGGCTGGGCTCCTGTGTGTGGAGTCCATGCTCCGGCCCTGCGAGCTGCCTCGTCGTCATTCTTCACTCGTTCAGATTCGCCTGGCCCCAGCTTCATCTCCAAGTGGGCTTGTGTAAACATGTGGCATATTTTCATTTATCTTAAGCTGGATTCTCATTTGGGGGGAGCAATTTCTCCCCCCCTCTGGAACAAGATGTTCCTGACTCACTCTGTACTGGCTATGCGCTCAGATGACTGCGCAATCAGTCATTTCTCCAAGGAGCCCTAGATCCCTGATCAGGGAGCCGTGTCTCCCCGGTGGGCAGCAGCCTCAGGTTGCCAGTATGCCTGCTGCATGCTGTGCAGGCTCTTCTCGAGCCAGGCCCTTTATTAGAATGTGTTGTGTGTGTGTGTCCCCCCCCCCCCCCCCCCCCCGCCCTTCCGCCCAGGAGCCTGCAGCATGAAGCCACTCACTGAGCTCTTGTGCATAGGTTGTGGGTCGCTTGGACTACTTCTGCCCCTCACTGGGACACCAGCCCCCCAGGCCTTCCTGGGAAACTGAAAAAAAATGAAGCAGTTGGTTATCACCTTGAAGAGCTACTGTACTTAAACGTTTGGCCAATGGTTGGTCTTTTTCTTTGCATATCGGGCCTGCCTGCTGCAGGGAGAATTCTTGTATTGTTTGGGAAAACCCTGTAGTTCACATAGGAAGTCAGGTTTAAAGGAATAGCCCCGTCACAGTATCACAGTGATTACTTCCGTGGCCCAGTAGCAAGTATGTTATATCTGGTAGGTGTACTGAGCTTTTCAACCTTTTACTTAATTCTTCAAAAATTTTTCTTTCTCATCTTTTCCACAGGTAATCAATTGTTTCCCCAAGCAGTGGTTCGTGAATTTGAAAGGAGAAAGGACTATTTCTCAGTTAGAAAACTTCTGTCGATACCTTGTACACTTAGCAGATACAATTTACAGAAATAGCATCGGGTGTTCTGATGTGGAAAAAAGAAACGCAAGGTAATTATTATTTTATGAATTTGTGATCTAGAATCTTTAAGATGTAATATAGTTGAAGTGACTTACAGGGAGACGTGTATTTTGAGCTGTATGTCGACACATTGTTAATAACGAAAATACACATTTTTGTTTGTGTTTGTGTTTTTCCACCATACCCAGTGGTGCTCGGTTGCTCCCTGTGGGGCTGGGAGACAGGTGCCATAGTCCCAGGGATGGAGCCCCGCTTCCTGCCCACAGATCCCATTCCTCATCAGCTCATTGAGCTGTCTCTCCTGCTTCACATATCGTTTTTAAAATTTTGCAATTTTCCCTAATCTTAAAGTATGCTGATTTACAGAAGTGTCAAGGGAAAGCCTTCTGGTAAGGATCAGTGGCCTGAGAGGACTTTAATGAAGCCCTCCCGGTAGGATAACACTGTTTTGTCCTTCCTGCATAGCTTCAGGTAGTTTAGGTTTATTGGGTTTCCCCCATCACAGTGCTCCCATTGCTCTGTATTTATTTGTAACTTCTTTCCTTGTGCTCTGTTGACTTGTAAATACTGTTTTTCTCTTCTCCCTAAGTCCTTTACATAGTTTATTCAGAGAATGTCCTTTTTGTATGGACACAAGAAGACAGTATAGGCTATGCTTTCGTAACCTGTCAGTGATATTTTCCTCCTGGGCATCTGTTCTCTGGACCTAAGCCTCAGCTGCCCTTACTTCCTATCACCCCCAAAAGCAGGGTCCCGACGAGGGACTGGCTGGAACCAGGGCAAGCGGTAAGCTATTTGCTACCCTGGCATCGAGATGGGCCTGGCCAAAGTGCCATAATGTTTAACTGTAAGTTAAGAGCTTGGTCATGGACAAATGCTGTCATGATCCAAAAAGTAATAACTAAACTCGGACCCTGCTAGGGTTAGGAATGATTAATCTGGCCTGAGCTCTGTAGTCTGAGTCTGTGGCAGGATGTTCCCAGGAGTGCTGCTGTACAAGCCTCAGTGTATCTCTTACTGTGTCCATACAAAAATGAGTAGTATTAAGATGTTGATAGAGTGCTCGCTTCAGCAGCACATATACTAAAATTGGAATGATACAGAGAAGATTAGCATGGCCCCTGCTCAAGGATGACACGCAAATTGTGAAGCGTTCTATATTTAAAATAAATAAAAAATAAATGAAAAAAAAAGATGTTGATAGAGTTATTAGACTGAGGAAAGGAGAAAAACACCTTAGGAGGTATTTTGCCTGAGGTATTCTGGAAGGGCTTTGAAATACCTCTTTAGTGGTGTTCCCTTTGAAGGGCATTCTTATGTTGATTTTGGTACCTGACTGTACAGTGTCAGCCCAGAATGCTGGGGAGTTGGAGAGACAAGAGAGCTGGGGAGAGAGGGAGAGAGGGAGGGGGGCGGAGAGAGAGAGAGAGCGAGAGAGCGAGCAGGGCAGCAAGATGGAGTGTGGAGAGACTAGCAAGAGGGACCGAGAGAGAAGGATATAGAAGAATACAGGAGCAGGCACGTGGAGACAGAGAGAGCCCAGGCTACGAGATGGAGCCCAGAGAGATGAGCGGGGGAGAGGAGGAGATAGGAATGAGGGGCAGTGTGAGACTAGAATGGGGGGCTCAGAGAGACTGGGGCAGGTGCGTGGGGAGAATGGAATAAATGGTAACTGATCGATCAACCGGTTTGGCCCTCATTTTGTCCACCGTCTGCCTCATGGCCCAGGCTGCCCTGGCTGGGGGAGTGTCCCAGGCCCACCCCGAGTCGCCGGTGGCTGGGGGAGAGCTGCCGGGGCTTCTCCGGCTGCCCCTTGTGCCCTTCCAGCTTCAAGCATTGGGAGAGTTCTACAACTCTTAGGATCCCCATGTGTCTGTGGAGTTTGATTATAGACATAAACTCTGGAATAAAGATGTCACTGAAACCCTAAGCATATTGAAGGTGATTTTCCCAAGTTTTGTATTCTAAGGCTTTTCATACCCATTTTCATGGATTTTCTTTTAAAAGCTGCATTTTAGGGGGTTGGAGTGACAGTACTGTGAGGGAGGGCTCTTGCCTTGCATTTGCGTGACCTGAGTTTGCTCCCCAGGATCCCATATCATCCCCCAAGCCTGCTAGGCATGATCCCTGAGTGCAGAGCCAGGAATAAGCCCTGGGCACAGTGGGGTGTGGCCCCCTCTATCAAAAACAAAAAATTAAAGTTGCATTTTTAGGTCTCAGATACAGTACAGTGGGTAGTGCTCTTGCCTTATGCAGTTCATCTGGATTTTATTCCCAACATTGCATAGATTTCCCCAAGCACCTGCCAAGAGTAATCTCTGAGCACAGAGCCAGGAGGAAGTCATAAGCACTGCCGATGTGACCCACAAAACAAAAAAACAAAAAGTTGCATGCTAGGGCCAGAGAGATTGTAAAGTCAGGAGGACTCACCTGCCTTGCACATGGCTGACCCAAATTCCATCTCCACAGCATATATGGTCCCTAAGTATCCAGCACTGAGCCCCTGATCATAGTCATGTGTGGTCCCCAAACCAAAAAAATTAAAAACAAAAATAAAGGAAAGTTGCACTGTAGTCTTCTGACTGTCAAATTATTTTTTCTTACTTAGATTACATCATTAGTTATATCCTATAGCACAGTCTTTCCCCTCTCATTCCCTTTTTACAATACAGAAGCCTGTTTTCTTGAGAGGAAAGTTGCAAAAATTTTTGATCAATTTTTTTTTTTAGGTAGTACAAGATTTTAGTGGTAAATTTATCAGGTGACTGATTTGGTTTGTATTTTAATTTCATCTTAATGTATGCCAGTTGGCTATTTGTTATGTGGATGTTTCTTCTAAAATTGTAGTTTCTTAGATAAGTCCTAGCTAGAATCACTTAAACTTTTATTTTTCCTTCTGTGTTTTGGGGCCACACCTGGCAGTACTGGGGCTAACTTTGTGCCCAGGACACCAGGTGGTGCTGGCATTAAACCCAGTGCAGCAGTGTACAAGGAAAGTGCCTTCACCCTTCAATTATCTCTTGCTCTTAAGCTTTTTTTGGTTTGGGGCCACACCAGTGGTGCTCAGGGCTTACTCCTGGCTCTGTGTTCAGGGGTCACTCCTGTCAGGCTCAGGATACTAGAACCCAGACAGCCTCTTGTAAGACAAGCACCCTGCCCGATCAGCTGTATGCATAGCCCTGAAGCTTCTTTAAAAACAAAACACTTAGATTTAATACTGTTTTAGTTTGAAGTTACATATTAACAAAGTGTCTGCTTTTCTGGGGGGGAGGGGAGAAAACCCAGCAGGTTCTTAAGCGCCTGGGGCTATGCAATGCCTACAAATTAGATCCCACCATTAACAAAGTGTTACAAATGTTTATCTTCTTCCCCTAAAAGGCACTTTGAACTGCAGAGTTTTGTAGACAACTGGTGTCCCCCCCTTCTGTGCTGTGGGGTTTTGGGTCTTTTTGGGGGGCATACATACATGCATGACTGTACTGGGGGCTGCTGGTGACTTAATGCTTGGGTTCACTCAGGGAGTGCTGGAGGGTGACCCCAGGGCTCCTGCCCCCTCCCCTGCAGCCAACTGAGCTGTCTCCTTCCTCTCTCTCTCTCTCTCTCTCTCTCACTCCTACTCCCACTCCTCCCTCCCCCCCCCCCCCCCATGCTTTTCACAGGTGGTTCAAGCCTAATGCTTCAGCACGGTTTCATTTCTTTTTGGTTTCCTTTCTTTTCCAGGATCCTGTTTTGGTGTTTGGGGACTACTTGGGGAGTAGGGCTGTGCGGGATGAGCTGAACTCACCCTCCCTTCTGCACTGGCCCTCAGCCCTTCATACACTTGTTATGAAACACTCTTTTTGTGGGGTCGAGTTCGGACTTTTTGGGTCACACCCAGCGATGCTCAGGGGTTACTCCTGGCTTTGCACTCAAAAATTACTACCCGTGCTCAGGGGATCAGGTGGGATGCTGGGGATTGAATTTGGGTAGGCCGTGTGCAAGGCAAACACCCTCCCCATTGTACTGTAACTCCGGCCCATAAGCTTACTCATTATTAAAGTGCAGTTCTTGGTCCAGCAGCATCACTTGGGAGGTTTGTTTGTCTGCAAACGCTCAGGCTTACCACCAGACTTACCCAGTGATGCCTGGGGCTGGTCCTGTGGTCTGTTTTTCCACAGTGGATACAAGGCTTGAGGGCTGCTAGGAAGGCAGTTGCCTTTTAGCTGGGGTGTTAGGCGGCCAACTCATGCTTTCAGTTTTCCCTATGGGCTTTGTCCGAAGGAATTAATGGGATGACCGCTGTTTTTTCTCTTTTAGGGAAAACATAAAGCAGATAGTAAAACTCCTTGCAAGTGTTCGAGCGCTGGATCATGCCATGTCTGTTGCAAGTGAACATAATGTGAAAGAATTTAAGTCTTTGATTGAAGGAAAATAGATCTGTGAGACTGAAAAAGCGTGTTTGCTTTAATACACACCATTCCCGATGTAAAAATTGTGTATATATGTAAAGTTTCTTAAACTGTAAATTATTTCTTTTAATACAAAGAACATTATTCACATTCAATACGGTGTCCCTAAATGTGATTTCTTCAGAATGAAAGGAACGTAGATTATTTCTAGAGCGTCTGTGAATGTTTTCCTTACTGCCTGGCATATTTGGTTTACAGAAGCCTTTTATATGGTCGTTCAGATGAACCCTCAGTTAATTGTTCTCTGTAAACAGTGTGCGCGGTGTAAATTGTGTAATTATGCATATATATAAATATATATTTATACCACCATGGAGTTACTTTCACACTGGAAATTTGTGGTGTTTTTCTACAGAGTAAGCGTTTTTAACAGCAGAAAATTATTCAGTAGCAAATTGTCTTAAGGAACTTACTACACTGTTGCAACAAAAGGGCTGGCCGGTGACCGGTGTCCTTCTCTTCTGGTTAGCGATGGCTGTGGCTGTAGCTGTGTGCTGCCTTAAACATGAGCACCGAGTCTGGGCTTCGTTGTTGGGGAGATGGTGGACCTCCGCCTGAAGCAGCGTGACCTCCCACAAGTTTGCGACAATAGATGCAACTAGGACTTGTGAAAGAACCTAGGAGTTTCATTTTCTGGAAAATTACTCATTGTCCCACAAGCTAACTGCATGGTTTTGGGCTGGCCAACTGTTTCTCTGACCGGCTTAACTATACCTGCACTTGGATTGGAGCAGTCTGTCATTAAAAGAATCCCACATATGTGAGTGACATATGCAATAAAGAATACGCCTTGCTGATTCCCCAAACCCGGCAGTTTACTATCCATAGTCTTCTATGCTGTTTCTACCATGTTGTAAATATCCAGAGAACTTGTTTTAAAGTTTATGCTTTCTGATTCTGTGATTTTCAAAAGAGGGACTTTTTGGAAATTAAGGACTATTGTTTGATAATTATATATGTAATTAAGCTTTAGCCAAGGATTAAATTAATTTTTAAATATATCCTTTGTTGTATCTTGTGGGCGACTAAGTTTAGACTACTTCAAATGATTCAAATGATTGCAATAATACTCTTAGCACATGTGCCTGTGGTCAAGTCAAATAGCTTTTTTTTTGGGGGGGGCATACCTGTCCACACTCCAGGCTTAGTCCTGGCAGGGCTTGGGGACCATATGGGATACCAGGGGTAGAACCCAGGTAGGCCGCATGCGAGACAATTGCCCTACCCCAGGTGCTATTGCCCTGACACCCCAAATAGCTTTTGTATTGTGTATGTGCACTTTGATTTTGTGTCAGCTTTTTTTTTCTTTATGATGGAAATGCTATTTCTACAAACATCCTGGATGAGGTTTTGGTTTTCTCAGTTATTCCTTGCAATGCTTTGGGAACCATATGCGGTGTAAGGGATCGAACCCAGGTCAGCCATGTGTAAGGCAACCAACCACCTTTCCTGCTGACTTATCATCACCACCAGTAGAGCTAAATTTCCCAGTGTGTAAGTGCACAACGTATACTTCATTTGTGCCTGCAGTTTGCATTTCTAAACCTATCGCACAATTGCCTTTCTACATTTGCTTTTAGGGATTCCCATATTAGGAGTAAACTGAGACTTGTCCCATGAAATAAATCCCTCAAGCTGTTTTGGTTTGGGGAATATACTTGAACACCATTCCAGGATCTTACCATGCTGATAGGACTACCGGTAGCTCACACTTGAAGAGTTTAACACATTGCAACTTCTGTGTCATTGTTAATAATTATTGTTAGGTGAATTATGAAACTAAGACGCAGTGGTTCTTACATCACAGCCAGGGAATGTTCTTAATAGTTGAAGGAATACTTCGTTGTTCTGGGTTTCAGGGCTACACCCAGCAGTGCTCAGGATTTAGTCCTGGTCTGTGCTCAGGGGTCACTCCTGGTGGGGCTTGGGTTGAATCCAGGTCTTCTGCCTGCAAGGAAAGCACCTTTGCTAGCTGACCCTAGGATACCTTTTGTGTAGGGAATGGTCAAAAGATAAATTCAAGGGGTGGCAAACTAAAAGCCTACCTTGGCCTTTGTGGGTTTTTTCTCTTTTGGAGCAGTCTTCTGTGTTAATTCTAAAATGGAGGTGGAGGGTAGACTGGAGCTATATGACAGTGGGTAGGACATGCCGTGTATGCAGCAGGCCCAGGTTTGATCTTGTATCCCATATGGTCCCCCATGCACCTCCAGGAGTAATACACACTCTAGGTGTGCCCCCTCCCCTTCCCCCTCCCCAATATGGAGCTTACATTAAGACTGATACCCAAGAGCAGTCATCAGAGGGTGTGGTCTGTTCCCAGTCAATCTCCCAGGCAGGAGGATATATTCACATCTTACCACCCCTGCTACCTGGTCTCCAGGCAGGAATAGCTGGGCTGGGTACCTGCACCCATAGGGATTCTCTTCATTTGCTCCCTGGTGGCCAGCAGTGACCCCAAACTGCACAGGTAAGTACCTTTCTGACAAACATACTCAATATTGCGCCATCCTTTTTGTTTTTATTTTGTTTTGTTTCTGGGCCACACGGTGCTCAGGGCTTAGACTTACTCCTGATGGCACTCCAGGGATCACTCCTGGAAGGCTCAGGGGACCATATCAGCTCTGGGGGTGGAACCGGGCTGGCTGTATGCAAAAAAAAACGCTACCCGCTGAACTGTTGCTCTAGTCCCGCACCTGACTGTTAAATTCTATTTATTTTGGAGACACACCCAAGGGTGCTCAGTGGCTATTCCTGACTCTGCTCAGAGAACCATATGAGGTGTGGGATGGAGTTGAGCCCCATCAGCAGGATGCAGGTTAAGTGCCTTGACCCTGAGCTATCTCCCCAGGCCTTGGTGGTTCTGTTTGGGGGTTGGGGGAAGGCAGTCTTTTAATCTGCTCAGGAGGCTCAGGGACCCCTCCTGGTGATACTCAGCCAACTGGGTTCAATGAAAGGGCTCTATGGGATTGGGGGTGATCCAATGCACCCAGCAGTACATCAAATGGTATTGGCAGCATGCAAGGCAAGCCTTAACTACTGCATACACTCCACTGCCAGGTTTGGTGTGGGTGTGGGTGTGGGTGCGGGTGTGGTGGGGGTCGGGGTGGGGTGGGGACCAGGGGGAGCTACTCTTGGCTGTGGGCTAGGGGGACCCTGTGGTGCCAGGGATCAAACTGGTATCAGCTCCATGAGAGGCCTGCACCTTAATCCCTGTACCATCTCTCCAGGTGATTCTTTCTGGGTACAGGTCTCACCTCTCATATGGTGATAGCCATGGAATAGCGGGAGGGGCATTCAGTGATTATGACAATGACTATTTCCGCCTATTGTTGCCAACCGTTGAAAAGAGGAGTCATGAAAACACTCAGATTGTTCATGAAGGGAACTGGAGAGAGAGTACAGCGGGTAAAGAGTTTGCCTTACACATGGCTGACCCAGGTCCAATCCCAGCACCCCATATGGTCTTTGGAGACTGCCAGTAGTGATCTCTGAGCACAGAGCCAGGAATAAGCCCTGGGCACCACTGAATATGGCCCAAAATCAAACAAGAAAAGTTCCTGGTAAGGATGAGCAAGAGTAGGAAGGGTAAGTTTTGCATGTCATCCACCCTGGGTGGACCCTTGGCACTGCATCTGATCCTTCAAGCATCACCACTGATCACTCCTGAATGCAGAGCCATGAGTGGCCCCTGTGCACTGAAGGGTGGGCCCCAACCTCTGCATTTCTGCCCCCAAGAGTCACTAGTAGAATTACCCTTGTATTTTCAATCCTGTGCATTTGCTAATTTTGTGATTAATGTGATTTACCTCCCACACCCCAATTTAATTTGAAGAAGAGGGAAACAACAATTCTGCTTAAGAATAAGAAAACACTGGTTTGTAGTTGGGGGGGGGGGTCAGTGGAGCTCACAGATTATACCTGACCCTGGGCTCAGAGGACCTTATGTGATGGCAGGGGTCAAACCGGGGTTAATTGCATGCGAGACAAGAGCCTTAACCCCTGTACTATCTCTCAGGCTCTAGAACTAGGAAAATTTAACCTCAGTCTCCTTACCCCAAAATCAAAAGAAACCATGAATAGGCAGAACATTTCCTTCCTCTTCTAAGAAAGTGGGTTCCTGCCACGGGCACAGATGGAGCCAAACAGGTCTTAAAGGAGCAGAGCAGGTGTCAAATACTTAACTGAACTTTCTGGGTTGTATGTTTAGCAATAACAGATCTATGTAAACAGACATATATCCCCTGGCTCGATTATCATACGTTTTTCTGGTGCTTACCTCTGCCTGGTATTCCTTCTGGCCTACAGAGGCATTGCACCGAAAAAAGAAAATAAGGAAAATTCCATTCTCACCCACTCCCACTTAGTTTTCTTTTTCAAAGGAGATCTCCAGTTGAAATGAATTCTTCTGGAATAAGCAAAGGCAGAGCAGTAGATTATGTTAAAAATGAATCGAATCCTGAAGCTTCTGTCAGTAACCATTACAAAGAGCAAAAAGCAGCCTTTCTAAGACCCTTCTAAATGAGAACGTATCTGCACACCTAGAAAAGAACAAGTTATATTCTAAAAGGATCAATTTAGCTTCCCTAAAATGAATGGTGATGGAGCTGGGGGTGGGGAAGGAGGGGAGGGATGAAATCAGTCCATAGGGACTGGAAGGGGAAATGATTTTGTGCAATACACAAAATTTAAAAGCAGGAAGAGGAAGAAATTCCCCCCTCCCCCCTTTTTTTAAACGCAAAGGCAAGTGGAAATGAATGGCTTCTTCTGAGTTCTCAGTTCCTCCTGGGTCTCCGAGCTCTGGCTTCGTTCTCATTTTGTGGGGCTAGTAGAAAGAAACAGAATAAGAAGTGGGTGGAACACTGATTTGGACAAGGACGCATGATCTATCTGTTGGGAAAGGAAACCAAGAAGGGTGTGGACAAACCATCCAACGCAGCTTGCCCCACGATGAGCCCTGTTCGGATGCCGGGTTCCCATCCGGGTTTGAGAGCCTGCCCCCCATCTCTGCCTTGGAGATAGCGGAGCCCTCTCCTTCCTGCTATTGGGAGCTCTGGGATGCAAGAGCAGGAGAGAGAGAGACAGAGACAGAGACAGAGAGAGACAGACAGAGAGACAGAGAGACAGACAGAGAAACAGCAGAGAGAGACAGAGACTCAGAGAGACAGAGAGACAGACAAACAGCAGAGACAGACAGAAACAGAGAGCAGAGACAGAGACAGAGAGACACACAGAGACATAGAGACACACAGAGACACAGAGACAGAGACAGAGACAGACAGAGGAACAGAGAGACCCAGCCAAGGCGAGCCTTTTCAAAAGCAGGCAG